CTTTTGGTACTGTCTTCTTATGCCTGACCGGCAAGTCTCAGAAGCAACAGAACAACTGTAAGAAGCACTGGAAGATCTTTAAAAGTCTTCTCATCTAACCCCTCTCTGGTATGACTCTTACTTCAATGCTCCTGACAAGGAATCCTTTCGTTTGAATGCCTCAAGTTACAGGGAACTCACCACCCACTGGGATGTTTTGAAAGTTCTTCCTAAGAGCTTAAACTTGGGACCATATAACTTCTATTTCTCCTCGTTTTATTCTTTGAAGTCATACACACACACACACAGAACCCAATCCTTTTCTAGCCAAGACAGCTCTTTTGTGGGTCTCCTTTCCATGCAGACTTGGTTTAATGTGCCCTTGCCAGTCTGCCAAACTGCTTTCTGGACAAAATCCACTCTGTTAATAACATCTTTGAAATGTGGTTCCCCTACTGAGAAATGTAAAATCTCCTTCACAGCTGTCACCAGTGCAAAAACACACATATGTGCACAAACACACACATGCATAGAAATAAATCTCCTCTAGATATATTATTCATTCCACATTTCATCATACTGTTAAATGCCTTCCTAAGTCTGAGCACATCATATCTATAGTGTGTCCTTTTTTTCCCCCTATGGTGTGTTCCTGATCTATTGCCATATTGACTTTATCCAGGAAAAGGAAAAACAGAAAGAAGGTGCCAGGACCAGCCTCTTCCCAACTCGAGTGTGGGGATGAGTGGACTTCACCTTCCTCATTGAGGACACGGATCTCCTATTCACTCCACCTCAGATCACATTAACCTTTGTAAAAGTCATTACTGACTCCAGCTGAGCTTTGGGCCAGTGAGACACAGGTTTTGGTTTTAGCACAGGACTAGCAAAAAGTTAGTAGGACAATGTATGATGTATTCACGACTTCTTTCCCCTCCAGGCCACAGAAGAGGCCAGCAGTGAGCTTCCAATGTCCTCCGGGTGGGACTTTGTACAAAGGTACAGCAAGGGGTAGAGATGAAAGTGGTGCTTTAAAAGCAGGAGAGGTGGATGGGGGAGATCACAAAGCAAAGAGCAGTTCACTAGGACTGGCAGAAAAAAGAATGGGGTGGCAGGGACATGCGCCCTGCAGGCCCCCGGCACTTGTCAGCAAGAAGGGGCATTCTGAACCCTTCATGGGCAGCAGTGTCAAAGGCAAGGGTGGATTCCAGGGCTGAACCCGAACATCAGGTAGCAGCAAGGCACCCTTAGATGATGAACTCAAAGAACAAGGGTCCAGCCAAAATCCCTGGCCTCTGCCCTAGAGGCCCAGGTCCTGGTGATCCTAGAGGGATGAGAGAAGGCCCAGGAGGTGATGCAGGTTTAATTTCTAACGACCCCTCCAAAAGAAACAGAGTAAATCAGACTCAAAAAATAAAAGACCATAAGTAACCAGGTGTGGTAGTGCATGGTGGTAATCCCAGCACTTGGGAGGTTGACAGAGGGATTCTGAGCATAAGGCCAGCCTGGGCTCCACAGCAAGACCCTGTCTGAAAAAAAAGAAAAAAAGAAAGTGAGCTGTCATGCCACCGGTAGCTCCCCTCTCCAGGCGTGCTGTTGATTTGGGGAACCCAAGTGTATTGCTTTATGTTTATTCATGCTCATTTTTTCCTCTGACCCATCAAAGCAGCCTTCTGATTTATGAACATCCTAATTGCCAGTCATTTTATAAGCTCTTCCTCCAAGGTTCACAAACCCTGCAATTTGGGCCGCCTCATTCCCACCCTTAATAACAGGTGACGGATGTGGCTTCAACAAGGGCAGAGGGCAGGCCTTGTGCGTGCAGCTGAAGGCTTCCTGACAGGCTGCTTGCCACTCCCCCGGCTCATTCATCTCCCCGGGATTTATTTAACTCTGCCGCTATCCGTGCCACATATCTCTGCCACGTTCGTAAGGACATATTGTCAAACGCCCAGCTGAAACCCAAAGGTACTTAATCTGCTCCTTGTTCTCAATCTATCAGCACAGTGACCCTATCAGCAGAAGGAAAAACGAAAATAGGAAAGCCGGCAAAGAGGTTAAAGCAGCCTGATACTGATTGGCTCTAAGTGGTCCCTGCTGCCTTCCTTAGGGCTTCTCAAATCCGGCCAAATCCTCTCCAAGTTCATCACCTAAGACCAGGTGCCCCTCTCTGACTGACATGTCCCAGTGTGTAGGGAACAGGGGAAGGGGACGTTACCAGAACCTCTGCAGTGAGTCCTGGTCTCCTGTGAGCCTCGGCAGCACACGGCGAATTACAGGAAAGGTAGACAAATGAGAGTGAGAAGAAGCTGAGCTTTGGGTCTGATCAGTGCTGCTCTGGGCTGCAAAGACAAGAAGCCCTAGCTTGCAGCACCTTTTATTTAGTACATCAGGAGAAACAAATGTAACAAATGAATATATAGAGTTTAGTACTTCACATTGGGATAAACAAGGTGTAACAAAAGACTGGGTGGGGGCAGCGGAAATCTAAGAACAATGAGGAACTATGCAGATGGAGATTTGGTTCCTCTCTGGCCTCCCGCAGGTGTGGTCTTGTCCTGGAGCATTACAGCATCCGGGGATCACTGAGGTCTCAGTTGTGACCCGAGGGCAAAATGCAATTATGTCTGGAATGTCGTAGCTGGCCTGTAGGCAGGAGAACTAGGCCTACTCAAATGATTTTTCCCTAGAATTATGTAGCATTGCTCCCAACACCAGTGTCCCTGCCCTGGTGTTCTGGAGATTTATGCAACTGAATTCAAAATCTGACAGTAAGAGGAGGAAGGCAAAGAAGAACTGAAAACCAGACCACTGATGAATACTTTTTTTTAATTAACAAGTCTACAGAAAACCTTCATGAAATCAGGGGACATAATACAAATCATGGTGACCTGTATATAAAACCTGGCACAAATATGGCCTTTTGGAATCATTTAGATATAAAATATGCATTAAAATCTGCACGGGAGCACTGTGCAGCAGCTGGCTGGCGATTCTGGAGGGAGCGGCCTCAAGGCAGGTCTGGTCTGTAAAAACTGGGAGCCCCGGTCCCCCCAGCCTCTGGGTGAGCCCCATGGGAGAGTGGCCAGCTCCCAGCAGAGGCCAGAGCAGCTTGTCTGAGGCAGGACCCCGATGAGCACCAAAGTGCCACTAGGCTGGCAGGAAACAAAAATGGTGCTGGAAGCAGGGCAGGAGAGGTGGAGTGGCCTCTTTCCTTTGTCCCTGGGCTCTGAACACTGTTTCAGAAACCTCGCCCTCTGGTAGACAAACCACCCAAATTTAGAGGACTTTCAGAATTTCCAAATAGGTTTTTCCCAGGTAAGCTGACTGATTCTAACTTGAGGAGCCAAATCACAAGTAGCCCAATATGAAGGATTAACAATGAGTTCTGTCATGTTCTATAGGCCAAGACCTTGAAACACTCACCAGAATGGCCAATCACAACAGAAAAGTACAAGGATGACTCTCTGACCGTCTCCATCTGTTTCAGTCTTGGACCAAAAGCAACTGCGCGATTGGAGCCCAGAAGTTACAACAAAAAGCAGCGCGCTCGAGGCTGTGCCCCTCTGGGTGTGACCTCACTGAAGCCCTGACTGTCTCTGCACAAGGCCGCAGCCTGGAGAGGGGCCCAGGCCATATTGCACAGCCGTCTCCAAGGACGAAGACGGTTCCTCCACTGGCGGGGCTGTCACCCGGGCTGAGCAGGCCCAGGGCGGCCGTCTGTCCCCTGGCTCGTCGGTTCACTGGGTTCCTGTACTGCCTACCCTGCGGCGCTGTGCCACGTGGAAACACACATGGGAACGGGGCAGAGGGACACAGGTGCAGGGTGGACAGAGAGGAGCATGAGGAGAGGTGACTGGGAGGAAAAAGCCCCATGGGCTTTAAGAAGCCTGCAAGGACAGCAGTGCCTCAATAATTTGGGGCTCCTGATAGTTATTGAAAGGCCTAGGAATACTTCCTGTCATCTTCACAGATTCTACAAATGGAAAACAGCTACTCTGCTAATTTCTGCCCAAAAGCAAGTGGTTTTCTCAGCTGCCTCCAGGGTAGATTTTTCTTCCTTCCCACCCGTTTTGCTGCAGGGTGATCTGACACTCAACTGTGGTGACAGTGAAAGGAGAGATGAAGGACTGATGGTGTCTGAATCACAATGTGAGCAAAAACCCGGGAGCCGCACCAGGCTGTTAATGAGGGACTTTGTCTCTCCAGTAGCGAATTTCAGGACACCAGTGCTGACAGATGGGTGCTGCCCGTGTTAACGGGGCCTGGAACCAATTACTACTTTTGCCTGCACAGCCAAGACAGCAGGATGACACTGCTGCTATGGCTCCGTCAGCACAGGCGGCCAAGCCCAGCAGCTCCTCCGCGACATCTTAGGACACTGCCTGAACAAGCAGGAACCCGGTCCACTCCATTTTAAAGTGACCTGACAACACCCCCTAGTGGAAATTATAAATAAAACAAGGTCATTGTGTCTAATTGCTTTTGGCTGCAGAGTGGTTTCAAGATTCCCCATAACATGGGAAAATAAAAGCAAAGCAGATTATCTTTAAGAACACAATAATAATATAAAGAGGCAGGGTTCACACTGGACTTAGGACCCACCCTGCCAAGACACATTCCCTCGTCGGGAACTCCGGTTTCGGTCATTCTCAGAGGGGAAGTGCTGTTTCCGAGGAGCTTCCCGGGTCCTCAGAGTTTGGGCAGACTGCCTGCCGGGGCCAGGATGATGCCAAAGACGTAGAAAAGCCCTAGCAGGAGGTTAAGCTTGGCCGTCCTCTGGGGCAGCTTGTTGAAGGCCTGGCTGCGGAACTGCCTCTCGAGGGAGAAGGCCATGGGGATGGTGAGCAGGGGCAGCGCCAGGCTGATGCTGCAGTGCGTAGCCAGGATGCTGAAGATCAGGTAGGGCAGGAAGAGCAGCGTGTTGTAGAGCACGTAGGAGAAGGTAGGGCCGATGAGGATGGCCAGTGTGACGATGCCGGCCTCCCGGTCGGACTCCATGTCCCTGGTGTTGTTGGAATGGAGAATGGCCTCGGTGCTGAGGGCCAGGGGGATGGCGTAGACCAGAGGGAAGATCGCCAGCGAGCCCACCTGGACGGCATAGGCGAACATCACGGCCAGAGGGCCGAAAGTGATGAGGATGATGAGGTCTCCCAGGGCCACATACTTGAATCCAATTCCTGCGGCCAGAAAACCCAGAGAGGGGTGTGAGTCCTAGGACGGACCATATCTGGCCGGAACAGGCTGCGAGCGGGGGCACTCATTCGGACCCCCAGGGCAAACTATGTTTCACCTCCGAGGACACTGGGACCGAGAGGAACCCGGTTAGGTCTCAGAGTCTACCTGCTCAGGTTCATACCCACCTGTGCCCACCAATGGGACCCCACGGCAAACTTCCACAGCAAAGCCCACTGGCTCCTATTACACAGTTCAGCACCAGAACCCATGAGGAGCTGAAAGGTCTTGCAACCTAGTTCTTCAGCTCCTTCACCTCCGCCCCCATGGAGCGTCCACCTGGCCTCCTACCTTCCGGCCCCTCCTCTGCGCTCTCTGGAGGCTTCAGCTCTTAAAAACCCCCACTGAATCACAGGGACAGTTCAAGGCCCCTGAACTCCCACATAAAGAAACTTTCACTCACAGGTGAACACCAAGTTATCAGGCAGCTTCCCCTCTCAGGTTCCCATGAAGTTAAAATGAAACCAGCCGTGACTATGGCTCCTCTCCCTACCCTACTTCAAGCCCTGTCTGACCCACATCTTTCAGACCCGCCAGAGCCACTCTATCCCACCTCACTCCATTGCCAAGTCCAAGTCAGGGTCATTGGATGCCTGGAAGACAGCAACCCCCTCCTAACTGGCTTCCAGATGGGGTGGGCGAGGAGGTGATGTAGGGTGTGACCAATCCACAAGGTGCCTCAGGATCCAAAACAAAGAAAACTCTCAGGTGATCAAGCACATTTTAACCACCCTGAAACAGCAAGTGACAACGGTCTGCAGAGGACTGCAAAGCACCAAAGCCAGGGGTTAACTTTCATAGTAGCTGGGTGTGTTGGTGCAAAATGAGCACTCTGGGTTCATTGGACAGGAGCATCCCCAGAAAGAAGGGCGCTGGCATGGCCCCGAGGCTCCCTGAACACCAGCAGGCGAGTTCTGTGCCCGAGCCCGCGGCTCTCCATAACTGGGCTCTCTGAGGACACGCCCTCCGGAGGAAGTCTCTCCCAGCCGACACCAGCTCCCTGAATCAGTAAACTGACGCCCCTTGCAATGTCTCTAGCATTTAGGGGTTTCCCTGCCCAGCGAGGATTCCAGGCCGGAATGCACCCGGCCACCACCAGCGAGCTCCTCCACCCACTGCTGCCCCTCTCTTGCCTCATGCCAACACCAGAGCTCTGGCTTGGAAGAAAACACAACAGCACGACAGCCCTGGCCTTTGGCTGGATTCTCCAAGAACACCTCCTCATATCACCACAGAAAACTGACTTTTGTGAAGCAGAGCAGAGACGCAGGTCCCCATTCTAAACAGGGCCTGGACAAAAAACAAGCACAAACCCACTCAAGGAGAGAAAGGTCTGACAACCTTCTTGCAGTTATCTGGCACCAAACAATGACAGCTCCTGGGAGAGAGCCTAAGTGGTGGATATATGACCCTCGCTGTGATCTACCTGGCTTGGAAATGGGGCATGTGCAGAATGGGGGGGCAGGCCTGTAATCCCAGCACTCAGGAGGCTGAGGCAGGAGGATCGGCATAAGTTCAAGGTCAGCCTGGGCTACAAAGCAAGTTCAGAACAGTCTGAACTACAAATGTGGCTCAACAGGGCATGGTGGTACAGGGCTCTCTCCTCAAAGGCTCTATTATTCTTTTGGTGCTGTAATCCTAGTATTTTGGGAGGCCGAGGCAGGAGGATTGCAATTTCAACCCCAGCCAGGACAGCTTAGCTTGACCTTGCCTTAACATGAAAAAATTTTTAAAAGCCAGGGATGTAGCTCAGTTTGAAGGCCTGGGGTTCAATCCCCAGTGCCAAAAAATTTTTTAAAATATATACATATATGTGTATATCTATGTATTCATTCCACACAGGAGTTTCCTTCCAGACATACTCAACCCCTCAACCCCATTTTCTGAATGAGACACAGTGACACACTGAGGTTCTTGTCACACAGCAGCCAGAATTGATCTGTGAAGACATAAATCAAAGCGTTGGCAAGGATGTGGAGCCACTGGAACGATCATGCATTGCTGGTAGGAATGTGAAATAGGATCCACTTCCAAAAATGGTCTGGAAGTTTCTCACAAAATGAAATATCACCTATCCTGTGCCCTCACAGCTCCACTTCTAGGCATTTACCCAAGAGAAATAGCCAAATACACACAGGCCCCTGAATGGGAGAATGAAATGTGGTATAATCATCAAAGGAGTGCTATTTAAGCAAAAAAAGGAGTTACTGACACACATAACAACTTCATGTATTCTGAAAACATCATACTGAGCCAAAGAAGCCAGACATAAGCGCTTGTAGTGAAATAAATATGCTGTACAGCAAAATAGTCCCATCTGCACAATGTTTTAGACCAGGCAAAGCTAACCCATGTGACAGCTAAGTCTGCTTACATCGCTGCCCTACTTAACATTCTCAAGGTCTTCCTGTTTGTTCATTGGAGAAGCAGGTTAGGCACCACCTACCAGGTGCTGCACTGGGCACTAGGGGTTCAGCTGAGAACAAGGAGAGAAATCCCTGACCACAAGGAGCTCAAGCCTCGGGGAAATTAACGAGCCGAAGGCGTATTGTATATGGTGTGCATGCATTCAAGGACAATATGTGCTGTGCAGAAAATAAAGCAGAGGAGAGCAATGGGAGAGGGTACCTGGGGTGGAGGGACACACGGCGAGGGCATGTGATTTTAAATAAGGCAGAAAGCAAGGCCTCGCTGAGCAGCGGACGTTTGGGCAAAGGGTGAAGGAAGCCACAGAGTGAACCATACAGCCAGATGGGGAAGAGCGTTCTAAACAGAAGCAGTCAGGCCCTGAATGTATTTTGAATGAAAACAGGGTTTGCGGATGAGCTGGATGAGACCTGAGATGAGCCCAGGAGGATGCCGTGACTCTGGGCCTGGAGAACTGGAAGGAAAGGGGCTGGGGACGGAGCGCAGTGGTACAGTGCTTGCCCAGCACACTCACGGCTTGGAGTCTGATCCCCCGCACTGTGAACACAGCCACCACCACCATCACTGAATGAAATGGGGAAGGCAGGTACGTAGGGGCAGAACATCAGGAGTTTGATTTCGGTCATGTTGAGCTCGACATGCCTGAGAAGGACTGGAAAAAGGTAAAACTCAGGGGCAGAGCACAGGCTCCGCATGCATGGGCCTCAGGTTCCAACCCCACACCCTCCGCCAAAAAAGAAGTTGGACAGGTCTGGAGTTTGAGGGTCGCCAACTCAATAAATGACATCTGAAACCATGAGCCTGGATAAAGCCACCAAGAGAATGAGAGGAGCTAGAGAAAAGGGGCCCAAGGACAGTCCTTGGGCTGTTGGCTGAGGAGTGGGGAGGAGCCAGCAGAAGAGACTGCTGATCAGAACGAACCAGCCCCTGCCTAGCTCTCCGCCTGTATCCCACACTCCCTCAGGACCACTGGCCTTTGGATCCCAGACAATGCCACACTCTCTCCCACCCAGGACATCTGCACTTGCTGGCCCTTTGGTCCAAAGGACTGAGCACCACAATTAAGATTCCAATTCTACCCCATGACTGGCTCCCTACCCTTCAAGTCTTAGTTTAACTGTCCCCTACACAGAGATGGTGCTATAGTTAGGGTAAGTGTCCCCACAGGCCCACTTGTTAAAGGCTAGGTTCCCAGCCTATGGCACTACTGGTAGGTAGTGTAATCTTCAACAAGCAGGGCCCAGTACGACATCTTCCAGTCACTGGGGGTGTGCCCTTAAAGCCCCTTCCTCTTATTCTCTTTCATTCCCAGCCATGAAGTAAACAGACTTTCTCTGCCAAGCATTCCCACCATGAGTACTGTCTGGCCACAGGCCAAACAGCCACAAGTCAATCAACTATGGACTGAAACCATGACTGAAACTTCCAAGACTGTGAGCCAAAATAAACCTTTCCTCTTTTTAAGTTGATTCTCTCAGGTATTTTGTTACAGTAACAGAAGGCTAACTCAGCCTCTTCACCACCACCACCTTATACTTTCCACTTTAACATTCTATTGATCTATTGATTTCCTTTGTTTAAAGAAAAAAAAATTGGTTTTGGTACCAGGGATTGAACGCACGACCTTGCACTTGTGAGACAGACAGCAGCACCACTGAGCTAAATCCTCAGCTAAAGAAAATTTTTTTGGTTTGAAATAGAGTGTCACTATTTAGTGCTGGTTGGCCTTGAACTCATTATGTAGCCCAGGCTGACCTCGAACTCCTGGCAATCCTCCTGCCTCAGCCTCCCAAGTATGGGATTAGAGGCATGAGCCACCACGCTCAGCTACTAAACTTTTAAATTGTCCCCAGTCTACAGCTGGCTGCCAGAAAACTATGGTTTCTTGACTTTCCCCTGCTCCTCGGGATGCTCATTCACGGCCCCTTTACTTGGTCCTTCTCATCTCTCTCACCTCTTAAGCTGGAGGCCACAGGGCTAGTCCTGGGTCCTCCTCGCTCTTCCACCAACACTCCCTCCTCTAATGATCTCCTTCAACCTGACATACCTTTATCTACACACCAATGGCTCCCAAGCTGTCTATCTCTCTAGCCCAGACCTCTTCCTGAACTCAGCTTCTCTACATAGCCAACTACCCATCTGACACCTCTGCTTGGACTCATTATGAGTCCTAACAGACACTCTAACAAATCAATCTCTTGATTTCCCCCAAAAACCTATTCTAGCCTCATCTTTCTCCATTCACATGATGACATCAATTGTATTCTTCCAGTTGTTCAGGCCAAAACTTTTGGTTATGCTTACTCCCTGTTCTCTATCTCACATCGAACCCATCACAAACCCTGTCTGCCTTCAAATGGACTCAGAGTCTGACTCCTTACCTCCGCTGCTGCCATCATCCGGACGATCCTCACCACCAAACATCTTGCCTGGATTACTGAAGCGCCTCTGCCTTGGTCTTCTTGCTCCTATCCTTGCCCCTCTATCCTTTATCCATTCTCAAACCTTAACCAGTGGTTCACTGAAAACACAGTCACATCTCACCTTTCTTCCTCTTCAGAGTGAAGTCCAATGGCCTACGCAGCCTACCTCCTCTGAGTGCTCCCTCTCTTCCCCAGGCCTATTCTCTCTACCTCCCTTTACAGTCTTCCTCACTCACACACTGGGGTCCTTACTATTCCTCAGACTCTTGAGGCCCACTTCTGCCCAAAGGCACTGCGGCACTTGCTCTTCCCTTTTCTTGGAATTCTCTTTCTTCTTCATCTCCTCCCTACTTCAATCCAGCTTAAACCTTACCTTTTCAATGAGGCCTACTCTGACCAAACTATTCACAAACAGTCATCTGCATCTTCCTTCTCTGCTCTACATTTTTTCCCCGATCACGATCCTCACTGTTAATAGTTACGCACTGCACAATGGACACTTCAGTCAATGATTGACCAAGTATATGATAGTCCCATTAGAGTAAAATCAGACCGACTATGTGAGCGGTTTACGCTTTTACTACACTACACTTTTTGCCATCATTTTATTTTATTTTTTGTGACAGTTTTGCTGTGTAGCTCAGGGCGGCCTTGAACTCAAAATCCTCCTTCCTCAGCCTCTCATGTGCTGGGATTATAGACCTAGGCAGGGTTTGTGCCTGCTGTGTGCACACAGAATAATACCTGGCACATAACAGGTACCCAGTAGGACTTAACCCTTGGCCATCACCTTAATCAGCTGCTACATGATGTCTCTGAGAAAACTAGCTGAAAGTTAATAGCTACAAGAGCCGGGGATTTAGCTCAGTGGTTTCGCCGCCTGCTGCACAAGCACAAGGACCCGATGTTCGATCCCCAGTACTAGAAAAAATAAAAAAGTTAAAAGTTACAGCGCAGAGCATGGTGGGTGCCACACACCTGAAATCCCAGCACTTGGGAGGCCGAGGCAGGAGGTTCCCAATGAGTTTGAGGCCAGCCTGAACTTCAAGACCCTGTCTCAAAAAGCAAAACAAAAAAGTTAATAGCTATATAATTTTGACCCCTTCGGATTTACTTCCACTAAAATCTGAAACTGTGGCATTGCAAAGTATGATCAACAAAAGAAAACCAGCTTTTAAAAATCACCCCTACATGTATTTGAGTCAAACCCCACATGGATAACCAAGCCAGTATCTTCACAACTTACTGTTTTCAGAACATACTCTACCTACACATCACAGATTTCAGGTAAAGCGACCTAGTTTAGGAAAGAACCTTTGACATTTCTACAGTTCCTGAGCAAAGTAGCAGTTTCCTGTATAACCAACGGAGACCCGCAGCACAGGAAAACAGGCCAGTTCTTACCTCCTGTGTAGAGAAAAGAGCCAGACAAGCCCCCAAAGTAGATGAGAGCCAAGTGCTCCAGTTTCAAAGGGGACAGGTAGTAGAGGCAAGCAGCACAGATGCAGCCCAAGGTGTAAAGGAAGACTCCGAGCCGAACAACGTCTTTAGGCTCCAAGATTCGGTCCACTAGCGTCCGGTCATCACTCTTCTTGTGGTCAATGCCCTTGGAAAAGTCATAGTAAGTGTTGACCAAATTGCCGGCCCCGTGCACAGCCAGGACAGCGACGGCACAACCCACCAAGAGTCTAGGATCCAGGACGCCCTGGGATCTGTATGCCAAGGCACTGCCCAGGGCTACCGGGGTGAGCGAGGCACTGAAGCTCCAGGGCCTCAGGGCCAGCACGTAGGAAGCGCATTTCTGCCCGCGGGAGCGCTGGGGAGGCCTGTCCGGCTCGGGCCAGTCATTCCCGAGCGAATCCATGTCCTCGACCTTGGCTGTCTCTCCTGCCTGGATGTTAATCTTCTCCCCCGACGCCGGCAAAGCAGCCATGGACCCCGCACGTGGCGAAAGTCAATTCTAAAAGTGAGCCACTCACAGCGACCGCCCCGGGGCAAGGATACTCGGGCAGCCGGCCCGACCTTTGCTAGGCTCCACCCCGGGGGAGGTCTGGGAAGGCGGTGGGGACCGGGAACAGCAGCGAGTGGACCTGACACCTCAAGAGGACCGGCGGCGCCGCCCCGTCTGCCCATAGAGTGAATGAAAACCTCTCCAGCCCCCGCCCCGCGCTAGAGCACAATACTCCGGCTCGGCCGCCTCCAGCAGACAGCCATCTTGTGCGCCGGCCTCGGGAGGCCACCCGGAAACAGAAGCCAAGGCGAGGGCAGGGCCGGACAAGGACAGCCGGATGGGGAGGGGCGGGGCCAGTGGGGGCGTGTCTTTGTGGACAAGGTGGTCAAACGCCAGGTCTCTGAGGTACCCCGGCGTCTGTCAGTTCAGCCTCAGTGCCGGGCAGCTTCTGCGAGACTGCTTGGAAACAGCTTCATTTAGCATCCCAAGAGCGACCCCAAGGCGGGTTGCTTTGCAAATTACCAGACATTTAAGATTATCACTGATTTTGTGTATAAGTGTGTGCTACCTAGGACAGAACCCAAGGCCTTCTCACTGAGCCACATCCCCAGCCCTTTTATTATTATCCTTTCTTCTACTTTTTTTTTGAAACAAGATCTTGCAAAGTTGCCCAGGCTTGCCTCCAATTTGTGATCCTCCTGCCTCAGCTTCCCAAAGTGCTGGGATTACAGGCACGCACCAGCACTGGAGGCTAGAATTCACTAATTTATTCATAGGGCTCTATTACTTATTGAGCCCTGAATGAGTGCAGACATTATTCGGATTACATCTGTTGTATCTGCCTGTGGAAATACAGATGCTGCTGGACTTGTTTGGGGAGGGTTACCCCAATAAATCCATCCTACAATGAAAATATTGTACATCGAAGAGCATTAATATACTTAGCCTCCTGCGATTAGCTTTGCCTGTCTTAAACGTGCTCAGAGCACAGTAGGGCAAGATCATGCAACGAAAAGCCGAGTGCTGAGTTAATGACTCATGGAATTTATACTGCAGTGGAAGTGAAAAATGGAATGGTGGTGTGGATTTTGCACAAAACAAACTCAAAAAATCATAAAAGCAGCCCCACGAATCAGAGGGCTGTCTGTACTCTCCAAGGACTGCGCACCTCTTCCCAACTTTTCATCCAGCGACATCCATCAGTGCCTGGAAATCTGCTGTGGAGGGCGAAGTATTTACAGCCTGCAGATCAGCAAATGCTCGAGTGTCGTCTAGACTTGAGCCGGTGGAAGAGAAAATGTTAATCATGCAGATGAAACTAAAAGTGCTTCTTTTCTGTAGCAGTTACATCATGAATAGCACCAAAGATTTTGAGGAATCCTTCCAGTGGTGAAAAATTATTATTTAGTTCAGCAAATCAGTTGTTTATGGCATTAACAAACCTGTGAAGTCCCAATATACCCTTTGTTGTTTCACTTTGCTCTTGATTAACATAAAAGAAAATAGGCAACCAACCTTTAGGTCTGAACTCTGCAATCACAGAGAGACTCCATAATGTCAACCATGAGAATTGGCTCTATGAAATTTTATTTGCAATAAAGAGTACTATATATTATTATTCGTAAACTGTGAGCTGCACAGTCTTTCAGTGAACCTTATAATACACATATGACACAACACAGGATTGACTACATAACTTGTAATGCCCAGTGCAAAATAAAATTCTGGGGTCCCTTATTAAAAAATCATTAACTTCGCCAGGTGTGGTGGCATATACCTGTAAACCCAGCACTCAGGAGGCTGAGGCAGGAGGATCATTGAGAGTTTGAGGCTCACCTGGGCCATATAGTGAGTTCAAGGACAGCCTGAAGGAAGCGAGACCCCCATCTCACAAAACCAAAAATAGTCATTACTTTCAAACCAGTGCTTCCTCCTGCTCTTACACCTCACTGCGTTTACAAAGGTACTCGGCACAAGCTGGTGATGCTGACTGAACACGAGAGACCAACAATGCCGAATTAGAAACATCTGCAGATTTATCCAAATCCTGGGTCTACCAATTTCTGCGTACCTCAGTTTACTCATGGATAAAGTGGGAACAATACAACCTGCCCGATAGAAATGTTCTGGAATAGTAGCAAAAGTGTTTATTTTCTCTCCATATATGCCATACACTGTTTTAGGTACTTTAGAGATATCAGTGTTATCACTGCCTACCCACATAAGTAGCTACTGTAATTCTTCCTGTTTTACAGATGAGGAAATAGGTTCATAAGTATAGGAGACAAGTTTCAGATTCAGTTATTTGGCTCAAAGCTGCTTTTAACCATGAATCTATAGGACCAGGGATTTAGCTCAGTGGTGCCTCTGCCTGCCTCGAAAGCGCAAGGTCCCGAGTTCGATCCCCAGTACCAAAAACAAAAACAAAAAATCATGAATCTATAATGTCTGGGGATAGTGATACATGCCTGTAATCCCAGAATTCAGGAGGCTTGAGGCAGGAGGGTCACTCCAAATTCAAGGCCAGCCTGAACTACATAATGAGACCTTGTCTAAAAAAAAAAAATCCCTATGCATTTAAAGTGCTCAGTAAATATTAGCTATTATTTAAACATAATGGATACCAAAGGTCTTTTTAAACAGAAAAGAAACCTTCAAAAGTGCTGGTGACTGCTGTTATAAACCATCTTAGATTATTAATTTGTGAACAGGGCCTTACATCTTAGGTTGGCAATCTTGTATTTGCCGGTGGGAGTGAAAATTGGTACCACCTTTATAGAGATCAATCTCACAATATCTATCAAAACTACACATGCTTGTATCCTGTAATCCCTTTCTGGGAATTTATCTTGGTATAGCTGCCAAGGGAGGAAATGATTTATTGCAGCATGTGTAATAGCAAAAATTTGGAAACAACGAAATGTGGTGCTGCATACCTCTAATCCCAGCATTCTGAAAGGCTGAAGCAGGAGGATACAAGTTCAAGTCCAGCCTGGGCATTTTAGCAATTTAGCAAGAACTTGTCTCAAAATATAAAATTTAAAAGCACTGCTGGGGATTTAGCTCAATGGCACCACCCTTGCCTCACAAACTCAAGGTCCTGAGTTTGATCATCAGTACCAAAAAAAGCGCTGGGGATGTAGCTTAGTCCTAAGGTGCTGGGTTCAATCCCCAGTATGTGGATGGGGTGTGAAGGGGGACTGGAAATAACACAAGTGTCCATTAACAGAGGGTAGGGATAAGAAATTACGATACAAGCATGTGATGGAATACTATGTAGCTATTATAAAAAACAACAAAAGAACAAGGAAGCTCTCTGTATACTAATACAGAAAGACCTCCAACATATGCTAGTTTTTAAAAATGCTGAACAATGTATATAGTGTAACAAAAGGGGAAAATAAAAAGTTTTATATTTATTTATATTTGCATAAAGAAACACTAGAGATACATAAGAAACAAAAAAAATAAGTAGTGAAGGGGCAGGAGTGAATAAATACAACTCCCTTGAAATTTTGATAGTGAATATACTTTTTTTTTTGGTGGTGGTGGTGCCAGGGATCCAATTCAGGTTCTCAAGCATGCTGGGCAAGTGCTGTACCATTGAGTTACAACCCTAGGCCTAGAAAAATTTTAATGATAAATAATATAGATGTTAGCTGGATGTGGTACCCCATGTCTGTAATCCCAGCATTGTGAGAGGCTGAAGCAGGAGGATCACAAACTGGAGCCCACAGCCTGGGCAATTTAGTAAGGCTGTCTCAAAAGAAAAAATAAAAAGATGGGCTGGGAATATATCTCAGTGCCAAGGTCCGGGGTTCAATCCCTAGTAACAAAAAATAGAGACAGAGATAGAGATGACACAGAGACAGAGGTGGGGAAAGGGGGATGGGGGGGCTGAAGCTGAGTGTGGTGGAGCATGCCTGTGATTCCAGCTACTTGGGAGGCTGAGGCAGGAGGACTGCAAGTAGAAGCCAGCCTAAGCAATTTATCAAGACCATGTCTCAAAATACAAAGGGGATGTAGCTCACCTCCCCCTGGGTTTAATCTCCATTACTGCAAAGCAAACAAACTTTTGAATTGTTTTGTTAGCCACTACCAAATGTTACCAAATCTCTTTAATATGACAGTTTAGACTTTCTGCGAACTTTTAACTCTTATTTTTACTATATTAGTAACTAATGGTAATGTTCAAAGAAAAAGTATCTTCCGTAAATCTCATTACATTTTTTTGTATTTCCCCCATTTAAAAACACATAAGTGTATACTTTTTTTTACAAATATTTTAAAGGGTTATATTTTACTTATATTGTATACTCGTAATTTTAATTTTAAAATTTCAACTTTAAAAAACTGGGAACCTTTTCCTTTTTAGCAAATATTCCCTTACAGTATCATTATTACTGGCTACACAGAACACATATCTTATTTTATTTACATGAGAACGCATCGTATTTTATTCAATCAGATTCCTAATGCAAGAAATTTTAGGAATTTCCAATGTTTATTATAACAGTAGCACTGTGATAGACACAGATGTTACCAAATTCCATTTTGCTATTGATTTTCAGAAAGAATTTTTAAAAAGATGTTGCTTTGAAATGTTTTATTTATAAATAGCTCTTTTAGTTAAAACTCGGAGGTGGTTTCTCGAAAATGAGCTCCTGAGCTAGATAATTTTGGGAATGTCTAACAAATCCTTTTTTTTTTTTTTTGGTACCGGGGATCGAACTTGGACTTGCACTTGCGCAGCAGGCGCCGAAACCACTGAGCTAAATCCCCAGCCTTAACAAATCATTTTAAAGCGCATATTAAATTTAACAAAATTGAAATCCCGGACCCCAAAGAGCGGTAACCCCAAGACTGCAGGCCTTCTCAGCAGTATTTAGAAGGCTCCGCGAGGCCCACACCTCTGCCAAATCACAGCAGGCGCGATGAACCTCCGCCCAACGCTCTTGGACCCATCCCTGGGTACCCAGACAGCGGACCACCCAGACGTCGAGGGGAATCATAGTAGCGACGTACCGGATGTGTGCGTGGAAGTGACTGAAGCCAACTCACGACCGATTGGTTCTCTCGAGCGGACCTAAGCCTCCTTTCGCCTGCCACTGGCCGCGTGGTTTGTCTATTTGAACAGTCCCCGCCCCCTGGAGAAGCCGGGTCCCGAAGCTTCACTTCTCCTTCATTATTATTCGTCTATATTCCAGTCCATTTTTTTATTACGTCCGCTGATTGGTCTTCATGGATGAGGGCCCGCCCTACCTCACGCCCGGCTTAGAGGACAGCGGGGAAGGCGGGTGGTGGGGACGGGGACTTGAAACGGTGGTAAAGGCGCTGGCGGCGGCAGCTGAGGCGTTGGCCGAAGCCGCGCGGTGAGTCTGGGGTCTGGCACCGAGCTCTCCAAGGCGGCGGAATGTCCAGACTCATAGCCAGCCTGGTCCGGGGGGCAGGGGGAGGCGCCGGTCTGGAACGTGGGGTCCCCACAGTACCGGCCCCACGACCTGGGCGCCGAGGAGCCCTTGACCCCCACCCCGGAGGCGACGCCCACCTCCCCGGAACCCAGGAGCCCCCCAGGCCCTTCAGCTCGCCGTCAGACCTAGCGCCCCGGAGGCCAGCCCATCAGCGCCCGTACTACCGTGGCGTCTTAGGGTCTCCTTCTCCGGCACAGTCACCCCTCCTTCTGGGCCGCCTAGACGCGGTGGACTCTGCCTCCAGAAGCGCCACACTTGGTGTCACTGCACCCTGAGACCTCTCAGGGACCTAGTACCCAGGGCTGAACTTGCTTCCATCCTTGGGGTTTGCTCTCTGCTTGTCCCACGCCCATGGCCCTGGTTTGAGCCACTTAACTTTAACTTTCTTAAGCTATTACAACACCCTCAGGATATTTGGCTTCCCGTAGTTGCATTGAATTCAGCCTGGAGCAGATAGGTGGGCTGTTTCGGCCTCGGCCTCCTTCCTTCTCCCCTACACACGCACATGCTCAGTGTCTGTCTGTCTGTCTCTCTCTCTCTCTCTGTCACCCCAGTGTCTCACAACTTCTGGTATGATCTGGACATACTTGGGATAGGTGTATATTAGTCTCATAGCAGTGTGGGCTGAGCCCTTTTATGGCCACTTTATTGTGCTTGTCTGAGTATTCCTGTTTCCCCTGTATTATAAGGTATAAGCTTGTAATCTATAAGGCCATTGAGGGAAAGAGTAATACAGTTAGGAAGTGAATGATCTCAAGAATTAATTGGTCTCTTTTAGCTCGTATTTGAAATACAGCCCTCTTGCACAATGGATAGCGCATTGGACTTCTAGTGATGAAGTACAGTCGTCCTTTAGTATCTGTGGAAGATTTGTTCCCAGGACTCTACCCGGGCACTATGGTGCATGCCTGTAATCCCAATGCTTGGGAGGCTGGAGGATCGCTCCAAGTTCAAGGCCAGCCTGGATACATAGTGAGTTCAGGGCCAGGCTGAACTATATAGCAAGACCTTGTCTCCAAAAAATACCCCCACCCCCCAAAAAATCCTATACTGAAACCTGCAGATGCTTAAATCCCTAATGTAAAATGTCTTAAAACCTTGCATATAACCTACACAGGTCTTCTTGTGTACTTTAAATCATCTCTAAAATTATTTATAATATTTAATACAATGTAAATGCTATATAAATAGTTGTTACATTGTTTAGCAAATAATAATGAGTCTGTAGATGTTTAGTACAAGGGTTTTTTTTTCTCAAATATTTTCTATTGGCAGTTGCACAGAAGCCACTGATATGGAGGACCAACTGTACTAGTATTCAAAAACGCTGTACTGTCCAGAATAACAGCCAGCAGCCACATGTGCCTGTAGAGCATTTCAATATTAATTTCACCTTTTTTATCTTCTTGAATATGGCTACTAGCAAATTATATCTGTGGCTTGTGTTACACTTGATCTTCGCCAAAAGGCCAAGAAGTGATCTGTGGCTTGTATTATATTTCTACTAGACAGTGGTAAAGAATAACAGTCTCCCCCTTTAAATTGAGCTCCCCGAGGAATGGGCAGTCTTAGTCGTTTTTAATTCTCTCCCTACTTTCTCACCTCTGGTGCTTGGCAACACGCTATCACACACTGCTAGTTACAGTAATTAATACAGTGATTGAGAACTTCCCATGTACCCAGTACTGCATGGACACTGTCAAACTTGTATCCACTCATTTCACCCTCACCTCAGTTCATGAGTTACCCGGATCCTCCTGTTGTAGTTGAGGCAGCTAAGGAATTGTAATTATCTTCCTCCAGTAAGAAGCTGTGGAATATTCAAACCCAAGCGGTCTAGCTTCACAGCCTACAATCTGACCCTCTAGCTCCCTGTCTTAAACATCAGTCATCTTGAATGAATCTGGACGGCCTGTGGGCTCCTCAGTGACATCGCTCCACCTTCCTAGAATCTCCTAACTGAGCCAAGTGGTGATGAGGGCCTAGGGCTGTAAGTTTATTTTCATGATATGTTACCTGGAGTACCGAATGAAGCTTTTCTCCAAAGACCCTCAGGGCGAGATGCTGGGAACGGGCCCTGCCGCTGCCACCACAGCTGCCTCCACCTCTAGCAACGTGAGTGTCCTGCAGCAGTTCGCCAGCGGTCTGAAGAGCCGGAGTGAGGAGACCAGGGCCAAAGCGGCCAAGGAGCTCCAGCACTATGTCACCATGGAGCTTCGAGAGGTTGGGCCTCTGTGCTTTGGGGCTGGTCACTGTGGGGGACATTTGGGCTGACGGTGCCGCCACTGGTTTAGATTCCTTTTGACAGCTAAGTGAGAATTTAAATTTTACACAAGCACCCGTCTTCTCATGTTTGTGGAAGGTGCAGGTTGCTTTGCAGTGACTGTATGTTTCTGTGTTGTTTCTCACATTGGTCACATTTTAGGAGTCAGCACAGACTCAGTGTTTCTTTGAATTTTTCCCTTTTCATCTCCACTGCACACCAGCCCCTCAATTCTTTCTGTCTGATGACAGTGACAGGGTTGAGTTTGGAGGGTTGGTATCCTGGAGCCTTCTAAACAGAGGTCAGACTTGAGCTCAGGGAGCCTGGCCCATCCATCCTGTGTCCCTGGTATTAGGAAGAGCATGGGACAGCACTGGGTCTGCTCCGGGGTAGAGATTCAGCAAGTACTGTAGTTGTAAGTGGACGAGCTTCGAGTTGAGCTGCTGTACACTTTGAAACTGGAAATGGGCAGTGGCTCTGCCTTTGACTGGAACTCTACCTGCTGCTTCTCAGTTCCCAGTCCCGAGGTGCCCACCTGCCACTGCCACCACCAGCTGGGAGACCTTAGAAATTGTCCTGAGTGTGTCTTCTTTTGCAGATGAGTCAAGAGGAGTCTACTCGATTCTATGATCAGCTGAACCATCACATTTTTGAATTGGTTTCTAGCTCGGATGCCAACGAGAGGAAAGGTGGCATCTTGGCCATTGGTAAGGACAGTCTCTGGTAACCATAACAACTGAGAATAAAGGGCCACACCTTCACGTCCGCTGTCTCCTGTCTGCCTCTGACTAGATACTTAGTCTGTCTTTGTTTTAAGAATCTTCAGGAGCCTGTAGCTCTCAGTGCACTATGCAGGTGTTAATCCTAGCAGCAATCCTGGGGTAAAGGCACAACAGGCTGGGTGTGCTGGTGCACACCTGGAATCCCAGCACTCTGAGAGGCTGAGGCAGGAGGATTGCAGGTTTGAACCCAACTTGGGCAACCTAGTGACTTAGGGAGATGGTGTCTCCAAAGTAAAAAATGGGGTGGGAATGTAGCAAAGGCCCCATATTCAGTCATCAGTACTGAAAAAAAAAGCAAAACAAGTATTTTTAGATTTGGAAACTGAGTCTTAGAGCCATTAAGTGCCTTTTTTTAGAGGCAGACAGTTTTCTGGAGCTGAGAAGAAGCCCACTTTCTTTCCACTACCGCCTTTCAGGCTCTGGTTCCAAAGTAGGGCAGGGTTTGGCATCGTGAGGCCTGCCCAGGGAAAAATGGGATGGGAGACAGTTTGTAAGTCAGGTCATTTTCACCTCCCAAATACTGCTTATCAGTACTGTGAATTCAGCCCAAATTTGCTTTCTCTTTTGTGTGTGTGTGTTTTGTTTTGTTTTTGGTACCAGGGATCGAACTTGGGACCTTGCGCTTGTGAGGCAAGCGCCAGAACCACTGAGCTAAATCCCCGGCCCTGCTTTCTCTTTTTTTCTTAGGAAAACAAAATTATGTAAACTAAAATGAGATGATTTTGCAAGTATTTCTGACAGATATCTTTGTTAAAATGAAAAGCATGCTGGGCATGGTGGTACATGCCTGTGATCCAGCTCTCTGGAGGCTGAGTCAGGGCAGTGCCATGAGTTTGGGGCCAGCCTGGGCTAGGTAGTGAATTCAAGGCCAGCCTGAACTGCATAGTGAGACTCTGTCTCAAAAAACCAAAGTAAATAAATACATAAAATGAAAAGTATCTGTGTCTTTACTATGCAGAGAAGTAGTCAAAGTAAAACGAAAGTGTCCCTTGCCAGCTTCTCGTTCAGGACCACCCATGTTCCTGGCCACCATGTGTCCCATCTTCATCTTTTTTTTGGTACTGGGGATCTAACTTGGGTCCTTGCACTTGTGTAGCAGGCGGCGAAACCACTGAGCTCCATCCTCATCTTTTGCAGCCAGCCTCATAGGAGTGGAAGGTGGAAATGCCACACGGATCGGCAGGTTTGCCAACTACCTTCGGAACCTCCTGCCCTCCAGTGACCCAGTTGTCATGGAAATGGCCTCCAAGGCCATCGGCCGTCTTGCCATGGCAGGGGACACTTTCACTGCCGAGTACGTGGAGTTTGAGGTGAAGCGAGCCCTGGAGTGGCTGGGTGCTGACCGCAACGAAGGCCGGAGACATGCAGCTGTGAGTGCCAGGGGGAGGTGTAGCACCAGGGCTGGAAGCCGCAGTGCTGTGCTGAGGTCCCTTCCTGCCTTCTGAGGCTTGTCCCTGTCAAGGACTGCTTTGGTGGGCCAGGATTCCAGGCTGTGAGCTGGGAGAGGGTCTGTCTGTCTATAAGGAAGAGATTTAGGAGCGAGATGTGAGGATTGGAAACATCAGTTGAAGGTGGGTGTGGTGGTGCACATCTGTAGTCCCAGCACTCGGGAGGCTGAAGCAGAATTACTGTGAGTTCAAGGCTACCCTGGGCGTCATAATGAGTTCGAGACCAGCCTAAACTACATAGTGAGACACTGTCCCAAACAATCAAAAAAAGAAGCATTAGTTGGGTGCTTTCCAGTTGGCTCCCCCTTTAGGAGGCAGTATTGTGAGGAGGAAGCACACATGTGAACCCTGGTTCCAGTCTTGGCTTTGCCACTTACAACTCTTTAACCTGGCAGTCTGGCTTTTAATTTCTTCCTCTCTGAAATGAAATTAACAACAAGATCAAATGTTAGACATGTTTATTCACTCAAGAAACATTTATGGAATATGTGCTGTTTCAGGCATGGTTCTAGGCTGCAGGATAGTGGTATAGAAAGCATCAAACAGATCTGTCCTTCCAGAGCTGCTCTTCCAACCTTAGCCACTTTCTGCTTTATAAATAGCTTAGGGTTGTGAACACAATGTGTGATCGGTTTCACTTCACCTCCTCTGGCCCCAAGCTTTCCGAGCTAGACAGATGAAGCTTCTCTCTTCCTCCATTGTCGCTGCCGTAGGATGACAGGATGACAGGAATTTGCCCTCCCGAGAGAACAAAGCTCGTTCTCATTGTGCCTGTCTCTCCCAGGTCCTGGTCCTCCGTGAGCTGGCCATCAGTGTCCCCACCTTCTTCTTCCAGCAAGTGCAACCCTTCTTTGACAACATTTTTGTGGCCGTATGGGACCCCAAGCAGGCCATCCGTGAGGGAGCCGTGGCCGCCCTCCGTGCCTGTCTGATTCTCACCACCCAGCGAGAGCCGAAGGAGATGCAGAAGCCCCAGTGGTATCGGGTGAGGACCTAGCTCCCTCCCAGCTGCTAGCAGAGCACATTTACCTAGAGAATCCCTCGGTCTGAAAGGGCAGCAGCAGCCCCTGGCCCCAGAGCCTTGGTAGCACATTGGTTTTGGCCTTCAATCATTTTTTTGAATACGTGGTATGAATCAGTAGTTACTTTATTGCATTTGATTAAAGCAAAGATCTGTTGATAGCCACACTAATTTTATGTATCACTAAGAATGAAAGTATGCCAGTTAAACTGTGAGCGAGTACCTTTTTTTTTTTTTTTTTTGGTACCAGGGATCGAACTCAGGACCTGTGCTTGTGAGGCAGGCAGCGGCACCACTGAGCCACATCCCCGGCCCCTGTACCTTCTTAACTTTTTTTTTTTTTTGGTATCGGGAATCGAATTTAGGACCTTGTGCTTGTGAGGCAGGCAGCGGCACCACTGAGCCAAGTCCCTGGCCCCTGGTACCTTCTTATTAACAAGTCAAAGACATCTCCTTTCAGAGATGTTAGAACTTGGAAAAACAGGTATCTCAGAATCAATGAAATATGGTCGGTACTGATTCAGTGTCCAGAGTCCTGCCCATCGCTGCTGCAAGGGGAACTTAAGGGTGAGGTGTATGTTGAATGAGGAGCCCTGAACCTGGGTTCCCTTCCTGCTTCATGACGTTGGGCAAGTCACTTAATTCTTTGAGACTATCCTGTTTAGCTCTTAAGAAGGGATGGCGGTGATATCTGCCTAAAGGGCTTGTTGGAGCTGCAGGTAGACTAAACAGTAGAGCTTGGCAGTGTCATTGAGGCACCGAGCAGGCGCTGTAACATCCCAGAACCCCTGGTGTAGGTGGGGTTGGCCTGTGTTCTTTCTCACTCTGGGCCCGGGTAATCAGGGCACTCTGTCTCCACACAGCACACATTTGAAGAAGCAGAGAAAGGGTTTGATGAGACCTTGGCCAAAGAGAAGGGCATGAATCGGGACGATCGGATCCACGGTGCCTTGCTGATCCTCAATGAGCTGGTCCGGATCAGCAGCATGGAGGGGGAGGTGAGAAGCTGCCCAGGGGAGTCCACCCTCGGGTGCCCTCTGGGAGCAGGCAAGGAGAGGCCCTGTCCCCATGGCACAGATACTATGTAGGGGAGATGGACAGGAAACAAGTAAACAGGCAGCCGCAAGTCCCTGAAGGAACTAAAACAAGTGAAAAGATAGGGGGTGGGTAGGGGGAGGGTCAGGGCGGGACTCCTTGAGGTGGCACCACTGAGTGAGATCTGAATGACATGAAGGGGCCACCTTGCAGCTGTCCAGGGGACTAGCTGTTTGCTAGGCAGAGGCTTTGAAGTGGAAGAGAGCCTCACATGTTGATGAACTAGAAAGAAGGGAGGTGCGGCTGGGCACTGCCAGCAAGGGAGAAGGCAGGAGGGCAAAATGAACAGGCCTCGAGATTCCCAGTGGACCCTGGCTTTTACTCTGACTCCAGGGCCAGGCACTGGAGCTGCGCATAAGGGACTGATGTGGCACTGTGCGTTTCTAACAGCGTGGCTGCTGTGGGGACAGCAGGTGGAGAGGAGGGAGTGGAAGCAAGGAGTGAGGATGTGTTAGCTTGAGAAGATGACTCAAAATTATGAGGCTCTTGTTAGGAAGTTGGTCTTTGAGAGAAGTGGGGGAGCTGAGTATACAGTGTGCATCTGACTCGGAGGGAATGAGGGAGGAAGTGACACTGGATGGCAGCATCCTCGCCCTCTATGTGAGGCCACCATGTGCTCTTCGAGCCAGAGCAGCCATTAGAGAGCAGCAGCCGGGCCCCTGGTCACTGGGCTCTGTGTGGTCTCATAGCTGCCACAGGAAGCTATGGCAGTAGTCCAGGCAGACGAAGTGGTGGTTTCCACTAGGGAGGCAGTGCAGATACTGAGAAGGCTGAATTCAGGATGCATCAGAGAGGGAGAGCTCTGCCTGCTGAGAATGGATTGTTGGAGGGCTGAGGGCTGAAGTCAGCAATCCACTTGGGAAGGGGGTGCAGCTTCTGAGCAGGGGCTTTTGCAGCCCAGACTACAGTGGGAGCTATGGAAGTGCAAGGAGTGACAGATTCTGGATTTGAGATTTGCTAATTAATAGGTTAGATGTGGGTAAGAGAAAAAATAGTCAAGATGTTTGGCCTGAGCACTGGAAGGATCCATTTGCTTTGTGCTAGGACAGGAAGACAGACATAGGGAGCAGATCAGGAGGCAAGGTCAGGATTTGGTTTTGAACATGTTAAGTTCATTGCTTTTGGGGCATGTGAGTGGGCTATTGAGGGTTCACAGATTTAGGAGTCTCTAGCATTTAGAGTTATTTTGTCATGAGACTGGTTGAGAACCACAAAGCAACTAGTGTAGTTGTGGAAAGGGTGGCTTTATGAACCTGAGGTCAGGAGACGAAGAGGAGCCAAGGGAGCCTGGGAAGGAGCAGCCAGAGAAGCTGGGGGCCAAGAAGCCAGCAAAAGAAGGGGCCTCAGGGAGGAGGAAATAGCAGTTGGATCGAATGCTGTGAATGCATCCCATGAGATGAGGACTGAAAATTGACCATTGGATTTAGCAGCCTAAGAGTCATTGGTGACCTTGGTAAGAACAATGGACAAGACTTCCTGAAAAATGAAAATATATATGTCAAGAAAAATTTGGAAGTTGGGAAAACTGTTTTATTTTTCTCAGTTCGAGCTATTGGAGGATGAGTTGTTGCCAGTCCTTGGGGAAAGGGGTGACACAGTTTTCTGCTAGTCAGCTTACCCTCCTGTGGACTAGGGTTCTGAGGAAATTACTTACCTAGTGTTCTACGTAGGTTTCTAGGGATAAGAAAGAGACCAGAATATCCTTAACAGGATGCTGGCACGGGGCTGCCACCCATCTGTGCTGTGACCTTAGGTCTGTGGCCACAGCAGTTTGCAAATCAGCCTTCCCAAACCTGGCAGAGAAATGACCCAGGGAGGTAGAAGCCCCAGTGCCCTTATTGTATGCCACCTGTAAGTAAAGGTGAGTTTTTTCCCTCTCCTTCGTGTAGCGTCTGAGAGAAGAAATGGAAGAAATCACACAGCAGCAGCTAGTGCACGATAAGTACTGCAAAGATCTCATGGGCTTTGGGACGAAACCCCGCCACATTACCCCCTTCACCAGTTTCCAGGCCGTGCAGCCCCAGCAGTCCAACGCCTTGGTGGGGCTGCTGGGGTATAGTTCTCACCAGGGCCTCATGGGGTTCGGGGCTTCCCCCAGCCCAGCCAAGCCCACCCTGGTGGAGAGCCGGTGTTGCAGAGACCTGATGGAGGAGAAGTTTGACCAGGTGAGTGCTAGAACCCCTCCCCCTCCTCCCAGGCTCCACACCTCATTTCCTCTGCCAACCCTTTATCCTTCCTCTCTCAGGTGTGCCAGTGGGTGCTGAAATGCAGGAATAGCAAGAACTCGCTGATCCAAATGACAATCCTTAATCTGTTGCCCCGCTTGGCTGCATTCCGACCTTCTGCCTTTACAGGTGAGGATGTCCGTGGTAGACATCACTACCCGTCTGAGGAAAATCAAACGGGAGAGGTGATTCCAGAACACTGTGTCTCTTCACACTGTAGGATCCATGATGCAGAGACTAGTCTGGTTTCTTCAAGTTGTGCCTAGTTTTCCATTCATGTCTGAGGCAGTAGACAGAGGAACACTCAGAATGCAAAGCGAGGAAGGTGGCTCCAGGCTAAGCAAGCGCTTATGTGTGGAGGTCAGCAGGTACATGACTGGAGACCCAAGGAAGGATGATCTCAGGTAGAGGCTGTGCAGCACCACCCTGTCTGGGGCTTGGATGGGTCAGTGACCTTCCTGCTTCTGCCACTCTGGTCACCAAGCTGCCCTGCCACGCGTGGAAGGAAGGACTGGGTGTTTCAGAGGCAGACTCTGCTGTGGATTCCCATATTCTTGCCCTGTCCTCGGTGGGCAGTGGGAATTCCTGGCCCAGCTCAGATACCACTTCCTTATGAGGCACTGGTGGATTGTTCCAGCTGCAGGTGTTCTTTGTGGTGCTCTGCTATAGAAGGGCTTTGGCATCAGGTCTAGGGTGAATCCTTCAGTCCCCAACTGTGAGGTGTTGGACAGGTTATTTGATCTTCCTAGGCCTCCACTTTGTGACTTGTGAAACCAGAATAACAATCCCTGCCTCTCAAGATCCGTGGCATGAGTGCCTGAGTTCCTACTGTAGTTCCTGGAATTGACATCATTCCTGCATTATTAATGCCTCCTCGAGCTACTTCAAACCCATTTTGGAAATGAGGTAGAGGCATCCATTATACTCCAGTTGTCTGTCCTTATTTAATGTTCTCTCCTCACACTCGGTGGGTGTGAGACCCCATCTCAAACATCTCTGTACTTCGCTGCAGTGCTTAATAAGCATTCAGAACCAAACAAGAAGGAGGAACCCACGGGGTAGACCAGCCTGACCCTCAGCAGCTGCCTTTCCCTGGCACAGAGTCATTTCATACCACCCAGCCCAGATGAAACTGCAGGAGAAGCCTCGCTGGTGAGGTGTTAAGCAGGCTGTGTGAAAAGAGTACAATGTGTTAGATAAGGGCAAGGCAATTAGTTACATAAAGTCACTGAGCCAGGCAGAAATGACAGAATGAAAATCAGTAGTTTTTCAGTTTTCCATTCTTCCCAGCTGGTACCCAGCAGCTCTTCTCTCAGTGACCAGTTATGCCCCTGATCAGCAGAGCTTTAAATGATCTTGGGATGAAAGTCTGTAGTTCAAAAGAAACTAATAACAAGGCCAAATTTGATCAAAGACTGGTACATTGTGGAAGCAGTTAGTGTGATACACTCAGAAGGCTGCATAGCAGCGGGATACAAAGAGGGCCCCTGGGTCTGTTCTTTTGATGTAGGTTTGTTGTTTTATTAAATAATATGCCGATGAAATTTAGTTCTGGGCAAGCCTCCCTCCCCGCAAGTGCATGCATGCTTCATTACCCAAGTGCCATTTGTTTAAAACTTTCAGTATAAAGTCAGTGCTTGAACTTTCTGGTATATAAGCTCTTTGAATATCAAGAATTCCTCAGGATCACGTACCAGTGTCTTCAACGTTCTGGTCTTCCTGCTTAGGATGCTGAATTTAGAAAAGGGAACTGCACTCTGGATTCACTCTTTTCCTGCTGAAATGCAACTTCCTATGTAAAGAGCTCATTTCCCTTGTTGGGTCAGTCTGATTTTAGGGTTCTCCCAGCTTGGTCTTCTGTTTCCAAGCCCTAGCATATGCCCTGCCGTTTGACCACAGTGCTGTGAGAGAAGACGTTTCTCGTAAGAGCAAAGGCAGGAATGTGCTGTTGGGAGTCCAGCTCACTGTCCGTATGTGGTTCTGGTAGCCCTCAGCTTTGACCTGGCCTTCCTAGTGAATGTGTAACCTTGCCCCCTCCGCTGTCACATGTGTTCCTGGGCTGGGACTCGGGGCTGGCATAGGTGGGTGCGAAGAAATGGGAGAGAGGCAAGAATCTGAAAATTCCAGCCTTCAGAGGAAAAACATTTCTGTTTCGGTTGCCCAGGGATTGGTGTATATAAACCTAACGAAAATAAGGGCCGGGATTTAGCTCAGTGATTCCACCGCCTGCCTTGTAAGCGCAAGGTCCCGAGTTCGATCCCCGGTACCAAAAAACAACAACAACAAAGAAAATACATGTATGGCTTTCTAAATTGCAAACTAAATCTTATTCTATTTAATGTAACTGTAGCAGAAACCTCTAGGTAATAGCAAAGTGATTTCCAGGCCTAAGCTGACTGGAATAGCCTAGGTGCAAATAGTTTTCCATGTTCTTCTAAACTTCATTGTAATACAAAATCAAAATAATTTAGATGATTTCTTTGTTTTTAAACAAGATTTGACATTTTTTTTTGGTACCAGGGATTGAACTCTGTCCTTGCGCTTGCACAGCAGGCGGCGAAATCACTGAGCTAAATTACCAGCCCAAGATTTAACATTTTTAACCCACCCTCTCTTCTTTCTTTTTTTTTTTTTTTCTTTAGTGCTGACGGTTAAACCCAGGGATGTTCTACCACTTAGCTACATCCCAGCCCTTTTTACATTTTGAGCTGAGGTCTTGATAAATTGCCCAGGCAGGTTTTGAACTTGTGATCTTCCTGCCTCAGCCTCCCAAGTAGCTGGGATTACAGGCCTGTGCCACCACACCTGACCAAAGTATTTCTAGACAAAAGCATGTAATCCTTTCCTCAGAAGCAACATTAATGGAAACAATTATGTGATAATGATTTGGAGGCTTTGTAAGGTTTTGGGTTGGTTTTTTTTTTTTTGGTACTGGGGATTGAACTCAGGACCTTGCGCTTGAGAGGCAGGGGGCGGAACCACTGAGCTAAATCCCCAGCCCTGGGCTGTTTTTAAAGGGAAGCATATCTTATATTTCTAGTATTTCCAAGAGATGTATCTAGGGAGTGATCATCTAGTATAAGACATCCTTTAAAGTACATCCTCTAGGGCTGGGGATTTAGCTCAGTGGTGCCACTGCCTGCGACGCAAGCACAAGGTCCCAAGTTCAATCCCTGGTTACCCCCCCCCCCCCCCCCCAAAAATGTACATCCTCTAAATTCTTTTTTTTTTTTCATCCTCTAAATTCTTGACATCTTTCCCAAGAGCTCCACCCACCTCTTCCTTCTCCCTCTTCTTCTTCTTTCTTCTTTGGCAGTACGGCAGATTGAACCCAGGGGTACTCTACCATTGAGCTACATCCCCAGCCCTTCTTATTTTTTTTTGTTTTTTTGTTTTTTTGGTACCAGGGATCGAACTCAGGTCCTTGCGCTTGCGCAGCAGGCGACGAAACCACTGAGCTAAATCCCTGGCCCATAGCCCTTCTTATTTTGAGACAGGGTCTTGCGAAGTTGTCCAGGCTGGCCTCAAACTCGTAGTGATCCTCCTGCCTCAGCCTCCTGAGTAGCTGGGATTAGACATGCCTGACTAATTTATTCTGACATTTGTGTATTCTATGGGAACTCTGGCCTCGAGTCATCTACTTTGTCTTTTTAGATACCCAGTACCTTCAAGATACCATGAACCATGTCCTGAGCTGTGTCAAGAAGGAAAAGGAACGTACAGCAGCCTTCCAAGCCCTGGGATTACTGTCTGTGGCTGTGAGGTCAGAGTTTAAGGTCTACCTGCCTCGTGTGCTGGACATCATCCGAGCAGCCCTGCCCCCTAAGGACTTCGCACACAAGTGAGTGGCTCTATTAGGCTTCACTTTCCACTCCATTAGGTTGCTCCAGCCTAGATCCATGGAGCCTAAGCCCATTCCCTGCTTCCTCACACTTCCGGTATAGCAGACCACGTAAAGAATAGCACTTCCTCAGTTCACTTCTAGCCACTTTCCAGAGAATGGCGTGTATATAGATTGGGGAGCTGAGTACTGAGAGTGTGTCAGGTACCAGTGCTGTTTACATCATTGTTATGTATGGGGATTCTCTGGATATTCAGATGTCTGCTTTTGATGTAACTAAAGCAAAGAATCCTTGACTGAAACTGAGGGACCAGACAGTATCTTTACCCTGATCACTAAAGTTGAAGTTATTCCATGTCTTTAACTTCCCAATGAATAAAACATGAGAAGAACCTTCAGCACCCTGCCAAATGGAGAGGCCAGTGTGTCCTGGCTCAGACTAGGGAGTCAATGTTAATAGAATTGTGTGTCTATATTCCCTGTGTTATTAACAAGGACTATGCTGGTCAATTAATAAGCTCCACCCACCCCAAAGCCTAGCATTCTCATCAGAGGAAGAATTTCCTTGCATGTGATGGCCGTGCGTTACCCTCTGGTCCCTGATGAACACATTGCTCAATTTGCTTCCTAAATAGATACCTTGGTTGGGGGGCGGGGATGTAGCTCAGTGGCACCGCTCCTGCCCCGCAAGTGCAAGGTCCTGAGTTTGATCCCTGGTACAAAAAAAAAAAAGATACCTTGGTCAGAAGTGTACTATCCCATACATAGTGCCTCTGTCTGAATTCAAAAAAAGGACCCTTCGTTAAGATACATTACTGCCATCTGCTGGACGGTCGTTAAAAACATACACATCTGCAGTGATTGTGCAGCAGAGGACCTGCACACCCACAAGTACTGGTCCTACCTTCCTTGGCCCAAGGAGGTCTTGAGGTAGGATGTCACAGAATGTCGTTGTGTCTAAACTAGCCGCTCTGTTTCTGTGCAGGAGGCAGAAAGCAATGCAGGTGGATGCCACAGTGTTCACATGCATCAGCATGCTGGCCCGAGCAATGGGGCCGGGCATCCAGCAGGACATCAAGGAGCTGCTGGAGCCCATGCTGGCAGTGGGACTGAGGTGGGTAACAGAACCCCAAGCCTACCTTATCTCAGTGAGCAAGAGGTCAGCCCATAGTGGTGCAACCATATTAGAAGAGCGAGCTATGGTTGCCTGCACATTGATTTGGATAGACAGGACAGCTTAGACTAAACACACAGGCTAGATCTGAATCCCAGTTTCATCATAGCTAGCTCTGCAGTCTTGATTAAGTTATTTCTTTCTTTTTTTTTTTTTTTTTGGTTCCAGGGATTGAACTCTGATCCTTGCGCTTGCAAGGCAGGCGGCGGAACCACTGAGCTAAATCCCCGGCCCATTAAGTTATTTCTTTTAGCGTCAATTTTGTCCTCTGAAAAATGAACACAATAGAAAATCTCATTGTCTGGGGTAGTTTTAGGGATTAAATGAAAGAGTTCATGAAACACCTGCTTGAAGCTTAGTCTGTAGGAAGTGCTCAATAAATGTTTATAGTTTTGGGTAAGTTAAACTCCCTAAGCTTTAGTTCTTCACCTGTGAAACAGGGATGGTGCTCTTGATCCTTTTCTGACATTTGTTGAGACTTAGTCTTCTTTAGTGGTGGAATTATATCAAGAGTTCCACTGTGGTGGCAACCAGAAACTCCTAGATTGGTCTGAAGTCTGAGCCCAGGCCAGGAGAGCTCAGTACATTTACTGTCTTTTATAGCACCCTTTCTTTGTGTAGAGACCAAGCAGTGGAGGGGCCTGGTCCCCTTGCTGGGCAGGAAGGCCTGTTCCTTCCCAAGAGCAGCAGGGATGGTCTGCCCGGACCCACCTGTGACCAGTGTCCTCCCCCTCAGCCCCGCCCTCACTGCCGTGCTCTATGACCTGAGCCGCCAGATTCCGCAGCTGAAAAAGGACATCCAGGATGGGCTCCTGAAGATGCTATCCCTGGTCCTTATGCACAAACCCCTCCGGCACCCAGGCATGCCCAAGGGCCTGGCCCACCAGCTGGCCTCCCCTGGCCTCGCCACCCTCCCTGAGGCCAGCGATGTGGGCAGTATCACTCTTGCCCTCCGAACCCTTGGCAGCTTTGAATTTGAAGGTAAGCAATTGTAGTGGCTCTTGCCAAAATAGTGAGTGACCCTGGGAACCTGGGGAGAGGGACAAGAGGGCCTGGAATTCCTGGGTCTCACCAGGATCCTCAGAGAGGGTACAGATTTGTAGCAGCTCCTCCTCCCAGACTCTTTCCGAAGGTTATTAATGCCTACTGCTTGCTTCTCTGTGCCATACTGAGTTTGGGGATGTATGATGTTCAGGGAAAGTACATTGATCTAAGGAAACTGTGCTTCAGAGATGGAGAAGACAGAGAACCTCCTTGCTTCTCACTTCCCTATAGCTGAAATGGTCATTAATGCTTTTAAATGTATAAGCCGGGACTTTGGGGTGTCTCCATTCTCAGGGCGGAGTGACTTCCAAGAGTGCTGTAGGGTGTAGTTCAGTTTGGAATTCTAAGCTGCAGATAAAGCCACGTTAATACACAAGGGAGATCTGCTGTCTGGAGACTTGGTTTGGTTGTTTTTTTTTTTTTGGTACTGGGGATCGAACTCGGGTCCTTGCACTTGCACAGTAGGCGGCGAAACCACTGAGCTAAATCCCCGGCCCTTGGTTTGTTTTTTGAGACAGGGCCTTGCTATGTAGTTCAGGCTGGGCTTGAACTCACCATGTAGCCCAGGCTGGCTTCAAACCCAAAATGATCCTCCTGCCTCAGGCTCCCAAGTGCTGGAATCACAGGCATGGGCCACCGTGCCCAGCTGCTGTCTGGAGATTTAACCCACCTGCAGTTTCCTTGTCACAGTTCCTCCCCTTACCATGATTAACACCCATGATTTACTCCTAATGAATAGAAAGTAGCTATGTTTAAATTCAGCCTACACCAGACACTTTTTTGGCATTTAAATCTGGGAACTAAAATAGATGAGGTAAATTTGCTCCAGAATTGTGTTTAGTTTGGGTCAAAAAATATATCCTTTGAATGGAACTTAGAAAGGGTCTGGGGAAAAGGTGCCTCTTCTCCGTCTCCCTTGCCCTTATCATCCCCCTCTGCCTTTCTGCTGCTGGAAGCCATCTGTTACCCTTTAAGAGAAGAGTCAAAGTATCTTACCAACAGTGCCTTGTTGAAAATGAATGAAGTAGCCACGAAAAAAATAGCTGGCAAATTGCAGACTTGCCTGTCCAGAGCAGCAGTGTTTATTCTGTTTTCTCTGCTTTTACATCCAGGCCACTCCCTGACCCAGTTTGTCCGCCACTGTGCGGATCATTTCCTGAACAGCGAGCACAAGGAGATCCGCATGGAAGCTGCTCGGACGTGCTCTCGCCTGCTCACTCCTTCCATCCACCTCATCAGCGGCCATGCTCACGTGGTTAGCCAGACCGCAGTGCAAGTGGTGGCCGATGTGCTCAGCAAACTGCTCGTGGTTGGGATCACCGATCCTGGTAAAGATTATGGACAGATGCAATGTGGGGGAGTCAGAGTTCGGGACAACGGGAAGCAGCCAGGTTTATTACACGGCCTCCCTAGAGAGCTTCAGCCTCAAAAAGCTGATGTTGAGCTATTATAACCTGTCTTTAATTCTTTGGCCTTTAGTCCTGTGAGAAGCGATAAGAATGACATAAGGTTAGATGAGAGGAAGGGATCTGGAGCTCTCTCACCAGGCTGGGGCAGGCCTGGAGGGGTGGGATCATGAAGAGGGGTTCAAAGGCTCGCTTGACCTTGCAGACCCCGACATCCGCTACTGTGTCTTGGCATCCCTGGATGAGCGCTTTGATGCACACCTGGCCCAGGCAGAGAATTTGCAGGCCCTGTTTGTGGCCCTGAACGACCAGGTGTTTGAGATCCGGGAGCTGGCCATCTGCACCGTGGGCCGCCTCAGCAGCATGAACCCGGCATTCGTCATGCCGTTCTTGCGCAAGATGCTCATCCAGGTAACTGAGCAACAGCCAGAGCTATAGGCAGTGGGGCGAGGACTCCCACTGTGAGCTGCATAGGAAAGGAGAGTTGAGGAAAAGGAAAAAGGAGAAAGACTGAGATACCTGGTGAAGCCACCTTGGCTGCAAGGCTCCACCTGTTTTCTGGCTTTGCGACTGCAGTTCTAGTGCTGTCACCTCATGAGCCTCTTGATGGTGTGATACCAGGGTGCTTCCAAGTCCCAGGCTAACCTCTCATGCAGCTCTTCCTTCTTCCTGGCAAGGCATCAGCAGTCCCTTTTCTGGGCCTCTTTGTATGGTCATTTAATCCCTGCAGGTGGTGCCAGGCAGGAAGATTGCAAGTTCTTTTTGTTTTGTTGTACTGGGAATCAAACTCAGGGCCTTGAATTTGCTAGGCATGCACTGTACCACTGAGCTACATTCCTGGCCCAGGATTCTAAGTTTGAGCCCAGCTTGGGCAACTTAGCAACACCTTGTCTCAACAACAAAAAAATTTTTTAAAGGGGATATAGCTCAGTGGTAGAGTGCCCCTGGGTTCCATCCTCAGTACTAAAAGCGTTAACCTTGATAATGATTTTCCCAAATTGACCAGTACAGTTTCAGGCATTGGTAAAAGCTTTGGCCTTTTTCTTGTCTGTTAGTTTTGTTTTTTCTGGCACAGGGGCAAGTGCAGCAGCACTGAGCTATAAATCCCAAGCCCATGGCCTTTTCTTAAGATTGGCCATGAAGTAGGCATTGGTTCTTGCCAGGGTACAGTGAGGTCTCGGGTCTGGCCTGCACTTCTGGACTCTGCTTCCTAGCGCACCGTTCCTGGCCAGTAGCCATCTCTTTTTCTGCTGTGGATTTGTTTGTTCTTGTTATCTTTTTCTATCTGCTTTCACTGCCATCCTCTATGACTGGGCGAAAACAGGCTGTCAGCAGGACCCAGAAAATTGGGGTTATTAAATCAGTAACCTAAGATAAAATACATTACTACATTGTAGACACCTCCTCTGGGTAGCCTAGTTAACCTGGGCTTTATGCTGTTCACTTCCTCACTACTCAGAGATTCCATCTGGCAACTCCAGCTGTCCCTAAGTCTGTCTCTGGCAAGTTAGCTATATCTATTCACCGGTGTTTAAGGATGTCACTTAGCACAAACATGTTATTTCTGCTCAGTGAGGCCCAACGGGACTCTCATTGATGTAATCCTCAACTCTGGATTTATCTAAATGTGCCCTAACAGGTATGGAGCATCAGCATTTCTCTGAACATCACAGCTCTTCTAAATGTTCTTTGATTCCTTTGTCGTGATTTCTAGTCCCTCTTACTGATTTGCTGTATACACAGATTTTTCTCCCAGGGAGCCCTCCCTTCATTCCTCATCTATGCAAACCCTAATCAGCTTTCTGTGACTGTGCTGCACTGTTAAAAGCCATAATTTTGAGAGGACTGTGGGACCTTGGGGTGCTGTGGTAGGAGATGGTGCTGGTTTTGAACCATTTTCTTATAGTCACAGCTCTAAGCTTTCCTGATGCCATTTGCTGTTGAATGTCTAGCAGTGACTCAGTCCACCAGGGAGGTCTGGTTCCCTCCCCTCACTCTCTGGCACATTTTCTCTGTTGACACACCGTCCTCTCTGGAATGCCCTCTGTCACACTTAGCCTTTCTTCCTGCAGATTTTGACAGAGCTGGAGCACAGTGGCATTGGGAGAATCAAGGAGCAGAGTGCCCGCATGCTGGGGCACCTGGTCTCCAATGCCCCCCGGCTCATCCGCCCCTACATGGAGCCTATTCTGAAGGTAACGCACACCGAACAGAGGGACTGGCACTTCTGTCCCAAGGTCTTATCTCCATGTGGTTAGGAGGCCGGACTGTCACCGGTACACTGAAAAAAGATCATTTCTTTGGTCCCAGCTTTGGAGACAAGTGTTACTCAAGCACTTCCAGTTAAAGAGTACCCCAGAATCTCACCAGTCGCAGGAAGATGTTCTGTCTCCTTATGAGAGAAGATACAATGCTTCAGGCACAACATTAGATGTGCTTGGAGAGGAAAAGTAGGTGGATAGCAACATGAAACAGTTCCCCCATAAGGAAGAACAATGAGCTTTAGAATCTGAAACAAGCTTCAGATCTGAGTACATTTGAATCATCATGTTTTTCATAACACTATTCCGTCTCTAGACAATTGACCAGAGATATACAGTTGAAAAGAGACACAGGAAATGTCTTTATTTATTTTTTTTATTTTTTATTTTTTAAAAAAATGCTAGTGTCCTTGATTTTTTATTTTATTTTATTTTTGGGGGGGATACCAGGGATCGAACTCAGGACCTTGCGCTTGTGAGGCAGTTGCCCGAACCACTGAGCTAAATCCCTGGCCCAGTGTCTTTAAATCATGGTTTTTCCCGGAGCCCCAAGTTTTGAACTTGTGTTCATATGAAGAAAAATTTGGGAATCCACATTTTAGAAAAGTCCTAGATTCATAAAGCATAGAAGTAATATATTTATAATAAGGCAGACTAGGTGAATTTTAAAGATTTCTCATAGATTTTAACCTGCATTCCTTTCCTCATACCTTCTTTCCATAGGCTTTAATTTTGAAACTGAAAGACCCAGACCCTGATCCAAACCCAGGCGTGATCAATAATGTCTTGGCCACAATAGGAGAATTGGCTCAGGTAAGGTGACAACTGCTTTTTCTACAGTGTGGAAAGAAACTCTAACCTTGGAGGAAGTCAAAATACTTCTTAATGCCATAATTTCTAATTCTTCCTGCCATCCTCTTTTTCATTTTGCAGGTTAGTGGCCTTGAAATGAGGAAGTGGGTGGATGAACTTTTCATTATCATCATGGACATGCTCCAGGATTCCTCTCTGTTGGCCAAAAGGCAGGTGAGTGCCACTGCTTGCTGGCTGAACAGGACAGACTCCAGGAGTGAGGACCTAGTTTCTTTTGACTCAGTTCAGTGTCCCCAGCCAGCATGTGCACAGAGCTCAGCACACAGAAGGTACTTGACAGTATTTGTTAAATAGTAAAAAGAAGAAAAACTTGGAACCAGAATTAGCTGTCATCTTGACCTGAAGTGACCTGCAGTGAGTATCGGCTGAGCAGAGCCATTTCCTCTCTTTCAAGGAAGATGCAAATCAATTATCAGAGCAAAAAGGAAAGCCTTGGCTTTAGACTGGGAGGACCAACAGCTTCAGCTCACCTTCACCTGTCATTGACATTATTGGGTGCTGAGACTAAAATTAACAATGTTCTTGATTTCTTTTTGAATCTCCTGTTAACCATTTGGGATATGAAAGAACTTTGGATTTCCCTTGAGAAGGGTGAGGGTATTCTTTATCTTGTGATCCAGTGATACTTGATCAGCCATGTTTTCATGCCCTAACTCTCAAGATTTCTGTTCATGGTTAGTGTCTTTACTGGAAATATCTCTCCTTAAATAGCCCCTGACAGTCCTGACATGAGGAGGACAACCATGCTGTTTTTCTCTCCTACTGGATCGGTGAACCATGTGGTTTTTTTGCCTGTGCAGGTGGCTCTGTGGACGTTGGGGCAACTGGTGGCCAGCACTGGCTATGTGGTAGAGCCCTACAGGAAGTACCCAACCTTGCTTGAGGTGCTGCTGAATTTTCTGAAGACTGAGCAGAACCAGGGCACACGGAGAGAGGTAGGTTCCCTGGGAACCTGGTCTTCAGAGACTGCTAGGTGAGTGGAGAGAGAGAAGGTGTGGCATCAACAGGCTTGACGTTCTTCTCCATGTTGCTCATTTAGCTGGGGATGAATTGGGGTTATGGAACATGAGAGGGATACCTGTGAAGCCTGTTGTAATCAGATGGTGTGGTGAATGTTTTCTTTTTCGCCTTTCCCACCCAGGCTATCCGTGTGTTAGGGCTCTTGGGGGCTTTGGATCCCTACAAGCACAAAGTGAACATTGGCATGATTGACCAGTCCCGGGACGCTTCTGCTGTCAGCCTGTCTGAATCCAAGTCAAGTCAGGATTCCTGTAAGTTGGGGGAACGAAGAAAGTCTTGTCAAGTTCTGACTCACAAAGCCTTTACTGGCCATGTGTAGAGAGAGTCTTGGGCTGGCTGGTGGAAATTACAGGATACTGGCTCATGTAGCAACTTTTGGATGAAAAGTCACGTTATGTCTGTCCGGGCTGTCTGTGCTCTCCTTTGGTGTCAGTGAGAGAGGTAAGAGTTGTCACCTCATCGCCTCTGATTATCTCTCGCTCTTTGATGATTTTATTCCCGTAGCCCCCCCAAGAAGGAGAAGAATATAATTAAACTGTCCATGTCTTAAGTGATGGGGAACTCCGAGGCATGTCTTGGGGCATATAAAAACTCGTAGCTCTCAGAAACCCAGGGTTCTTTTTTCCATCTAAGATCTGGCCCCAAAGTCCCATTGCCACTGATAAGTGGCCTAAGAGAGGGGCAGGCGATGGTGCAGGCGAGTCTCCTGGACTTGCCCACTGTCCACTAGGGCAGGCCTGGTTCTGAAAGTGAAGGTTCAACAGTGGCTGTTCCAGCTATTCCAGCAGGATGTTATTTTCCCTAAAGAAAAGAATTTGTTTCTAAACACTGTAAGTGGAGACCTATTGTTTCTAATTCCTTCTTCCATCTGGGTGTAGGGGAAGTGTGCCTTTAACATTATCCTGCCAGCTGGTCAAGAGTACAACCTGCACCTTGTCCTTCCTGGGTTCTGCCTGCCTGCCTCAGTGGCCCCAGTCAGACTTGCTCTAGTTCTTACTTTCTTCGTGTCAGTACTCCCAGGCAGAGTCCTTGAGATCCATCCTGTTGTTCCCGTCAGGGAGCATTTGCCTGTTATCTCGTCTGAATTTCCTAGGGGACCAGGCAGCTGCAAAACAGATGTTTGCCTAATTTAATTCCCTTTACTTTCATTTGAGGAAGTAATTATTTTTATTGATGGTTTTAGCCGCAGAGTTGTGAACTGTAGTGGTACAAAGCTAAGTTAAACGTAGCAATTTAAAGAAAAACCCATCATGTACTGTTTTAGGCTTTGATGGTTTGGGTAATAGAAAAGCCAAAGCCCGTTAGGTCTCTGATGGTGAGGGCCATTCATCAGTTCCTAATAGAACCCATATTCTTGGTGGCGTTAGAATGTATGAGGGAAAACGATATGAATGCTAATGTCTTTGAGGAGGTCTTTTGTTTGCTGTTAACCATGTTCTGCCTAAGGTCAGAATCGTGTCGTGAATAGCTTATGACTCACTTTCTCCTTTTGTCCTAGCTGACTACAGCACCAGTGAAATGCTGGTCAACATGGGAAACCTGCCCCTGGATGAATTCTACCCGGCTGTGTCCATGGTGGCCCTGATGCGGATCTTCCGAGACCAGTCCCTCTCTCACCATCACACCATGGTTGTCCAGGCCATCACCTTCATCTTCAAGTCCCTGGGGCTCAAGTGTGTGCAGTTCCTGCCCCAGGTCATGCCTACATTCCTTAATGTCATCCGGGTCTGTGACGGGGCCATCCGGGAAGTAAGTACATAAAATCTCCACCCCTTGCTTCCCTTTGCTGCGTGCCATACATGTGCCTCAGCTCCCTAATGGCACTGTGCTTGCTACTGAGCCCAGTGCCTTTCCCCCCTTAACTTCCAACACCCGAGTAGTCTAGTTTCCTGGTTCATCCCCTTGAGGCACCTGAAAGGTGCACTTTGAGAGGTGATAGTATGTTTTTATAAATTCTGTTTTCTGACTTGAAGTGTGGAATACAGAAGTGTGAAACTGTTATGGGTTTTTTAAAATTCAAGATCTTTGCTGTGTTGCACAGGCTGATCTCAGCTCGAACTTAAGCTATCCTCTTACCTCAGCTTCCCAACTGTCTGGGAATATGGCCCACCACACCTGGCTTACAGTTTATTTTTAAATGTTATACTTATGACTATCAACCTCACTGATTTTGTATTAATTCTAATAACAGTGATAAATTCTCCCAGATTGTCACTCTAGATAATCATATAGACGGACAAGAAAGAAAAAAGGGGAAAGGTAGTTTTGATATTTTCATTTTAATCTTTAAATGATTAATTACTTTCCTTATTGCATTCCTGGGACCTCCATGGGAGTGTTGGTTAGATACAGTTGCAGTGAACATTTTTTTTTTTTGGTACTGGGGATGGAACTCGTGTCCTTCCGCTTGCAAGGCAGGCAGTGGAACCACTGAGCTAAATCCCTGGCCCGCAGTGAACATCTTTAACCCTGCTTCTGACTGTTGTTTTGTTTTGTTTTGTTTTTTGCAGTACTGGAGATTTAATCCAGGACCTCACATATGCTAGGCAAGTGCTGTACCACTGAACTACACCTGCAGTCCTATTTATTTATTTATTTTTAAATTTTTATTACACTGGGGATTAAACCCTGACCCTTTGCACTGAGCTACATCTCTAGCCCTTTTTTTATCTTTTATTTTGAGACAGTGTCTCCCTGAGTTGCTCAGCTGGCTTCAAACTTGTGGTCCTCTTGCCTCAGCCTCCCCAGTAGCTGGGGTTACAGGTGTGTGCCACCACTCCCAGTGGTAGACAGCTCTTCATCTATTGAAATGATTGCATGGTTTTTCTCTCTCAATGTGTTCTTAAGCAGCATTACTTTGATATATGTTCTAATATTGGAACTTGGCTTGTGTTGAAAGCGTCTTGGTTATGGTGCATTTTTAACATTGATTTTATATCTGATACTTAATTTAGAATTTTTGCAACTATGATCCCAAACATAATTGATCTGTAGTTTTCAACTGTAGGCTCAAAAATCTGCTTAGCTTTTCTTTTTCCATTTATTAAAATATTGATTTTATCTAAATGATAAAATTTATTAAGAAGCTGTTCACATTATTCCTCTATATCTTAATTTCTTGCTAGAAATTTGACAGTTGTTTTTTTCTTTTTCAGAGAACCAACTTTTGCCTTTGTTGATTTTTCTCTCATATCTTTGTTTTCTCTTTCATTAATCTGCTCTTTATTATTTTTTTCACATTTTCTTTGCTCTGCTTCTTAAAACAACTTCTTTGGTTGGAACTCTGGGTCGTTAATTATCAGTTTGTTTGGGTTTTTTTGGTATCGGGGGATCAAACTCAGGACCTCCAGTTTGCTTGCAAGGCAGGCAGCGGCACCACTGAGCTAAATCCCTGGCCCTTGTCAGTCTTCTTTTCTAATGAAACCTATTGGGGCTGTAAATTTCACTCCAAGTATTGCTTAGCTGCATTTAAATTTTTTAAAAGCTTGAGTGAGATAAAATTTACATACCATAGATTTACCTCTCTTAAGAGTAAAATTCATCAGTTTTAAATATATTTAAAGTGTTGAGCAATCATTACTAACAGTGTAATTTTAGAAGATTTCCATCACCACAGCCAGAGACTTCCTGCCCATTTGCCAATGTTCTTCATTCCTGCCCCATCTGGGGGCAACCACTGTTGTACTTTCTTTTGCTGTAGGTTTGCGTTAGTGCACATTTCAAGTAATTGGGATGATAGAGTATGTGTTCTTTTGTGTGTAGCTTTTTTTCACTTAGTGTAATACTTTTGAGGTTATTTATGTTGTACATATGTCGATAGTATTTTCTTTCATTGCTGAATAATAATGTATTTTCATTATTGGTCAGAAGCAAATATTTTCTAACATTTGTTGTGATATCAGTTTCACCCTTGAGTTATTTAGAAGTGGGTATTTTATTTGCAAACTTAGGTTTTAAATTTCTCTTTGTGATATTGATTTTTTTGTGATACTGATTTTTAACTCAATTACATTGTGTTTATGATTCTTTGATGTTTGCTGAAACTGCTTTAATGGTCTAGTGCTTGATCGATTTTCCTAAGTTTCCTGTGTGGTTGGGAATTGTGTGTATTTGCTAATGTCATGCACAAGGTCCTGTGTATATCATTAGATTGAACAAACTGCATTCTATGTTCAAATCTTTTGTATCCCTGATATTGGGGGGGTGGGGGTGGCTTAATCTATTAATACTGAGAGGAGTGGGTTAAATCTTCTTATGATGGATTTATTTCTTATAGCTTAGCGATTTTGTTTTATTTACTTTTGAGGTTGTATTATTAGGTGCATGCGAATTTAAAATCTTTTCTTGATAAATTGAATCTTTCATCATTATGCAATGACCCCTTTTATGAGAGAAAAGGTTTCTGTACATTACCCATGCTGGCCTTGAACTCGAGATTCTCCTATCTCAGCTTCTCAAATTGCTGGGATTATCGACATTTACCCCTGCACTTGGCAAAATAACACTTTTTATCTTGAGTAATACCTTCACATTTATTTACCTAATATTAGTATAGCTATGCCACCCTTTTTGGGAAGAATGTACATTTCCTGTCCTTTTACTTTTAACTGGCTTGTGACTTTGTTTTGGATAGGGCTCTTGTAAATACAATATAGCAGGGTTAAAATTTTCTTTTAAGCAGGGCCAGGGATTTAGCTCAGTGGCAGTTCTCAAAATAATCAGTTCCCCTGCATTGTCTAATGACAATCATTGGGATTTTTTTTTTTAAGCTTTACTAGAACTCTTAGATACATGCATGTATGATGTGTATGTTAGCTTTCAGTAGCTTAACTTTTTTCTTTTTCTTTTTTTTCTGAGACAGGTTCTCACTATAATACAAGTTTAAAACTGTCATTTGGTCCAATTACATTTATTGTAATTGGTGATATACTTGGGTTTACTTCTGCTATCTTTTTTTTTTTTGAGACAAGTTCTCACTGTGTAGTTCAGGCTGGCCTTGAACGCCCAGCAGTCCTCTTGCCTCAGCGTCTCAAGTGCTGTGATTACAGGTGTGTCACCACCATGCCCAGCTGCCATCTTATTTAGTGCGTTCTTCTTGTCCTGCTTTGTCTTTTCTGTCTTTTTGAGCTTTACAAAAAAATTTTATCTTTTGGTCTTTATTTATGGCCCACTTGTAATTTTTAAAAACATTTTATAATATAATTGTTTCAATCATAAATAAAAGTAGACTGTTTTATTCAAATTAGAATGAAAATAAAGTCCACACCTGGCCTCTGATTAAAATAATTCCCTATTTCCCATTTTCTTCCACATATTTTTTTCATGACACGTTTGTAAGAGAAATCAGGTTATTTATCCTGATGACAAACCTATGGTACATGTGCTGCAGTGGGCTGTTTTTATCACTGAAGGCTCTAAAAGGTTTGCCATCACTACTATAGAGTTTCCCATTCAGGACTTGGCTGACTGTATCTTTAAAGGATCCTAACTTGCTGTAAACTGGAATAAATCCAGATTCTATTCCTTTATTAAGAAATACCGAGTAGGTGGTACTGTACACCTGCTACTTCAGCACTCAGGGAGCACACGTGCTCTGATGACTCACTGCTTGGTGTTGTAATCCCGATGCGATGCTGCAAAGTCCCCATCAACCCTTCCCCTAAGTGTTTAGGGCTTGTGGGCGGCTGATTCCTGGATCCATTGTTTGACTAGCAACCACAAAATGGTGATTTTTTTCTAATTCTATTCCTTTTGGAGTTAGTAGCTGGAAATCATCTGTTAAGAATTTTATATACTCAGGTGTTTAATTTGAGGTATACATCATGCAGCAAAGACATTTATGCCTGATTCTTTCCCTTATTTATCAATTTGTCAGTGTTTCAAAACAACAAGTCAAATTCCTAGAAACCTCTTGAGGTGCCCAGGCCATTGCCCACTCCTACTCTACCTCTGTTCATTGCTTTATTTTGTTTTGTTTCAGTACCGGGAATTGAACTCAGGACCTTGTTCTTGCCAGGCAGGCTCAGTGCCACTGAGCTACATCCCCGGCCCCTCCATTCATTGCACATATAAACACATATGTGCAGGGTGTGATCCAGTATTTCAGTGAATGATTAAATTTTTAAAAAATTCTTACAGTAAAAGATTTGCCCTTAATTGCCATTAATCTCTCTCTATTTGAACAGTTATCCCATCGTTCTTGCCACGTTTTGAAACAAAATGTTCTTTTGTGAGTGTCTTTCCAAGGTGTGATAAAAAATATGTCGAATGCTGTTGCCGAGTGCCATCCAAAGAGGCAGGCTTGTAAAACGCACAGTGCATCCTCATGCACCTACTTCACTGGATCTGGCACTCGGCGACTTCTGGCTCTTGCCCAAGGTCAGAGTGACCCGGAAAGGTAAACGTCTTGAGTTGTCAGGACATCAGTGCAGCCACAGCATGTAGCCAGACACATGAAAGAAGACTTCCAGAACTGCTTTGGAAAGTGGCAAGAATGATGGGATAAATGTTCCAAGTGAGGAAGAATATTTTGAGGATTAATGGCAATGTATTTTTTACCATAATAAAGTTTTTAAAACATTTAAACAAATACTAAAGTTTTCAGTCACATTTTGTATATCCGATATGTTTCTCTTAATTACAGGTACTGTTTTGGTCACAATGTAATTATCTATCCGAATTAACCTGGCTTTTTTTTTTTAATTTGAGACATGGTGTAATTAAATTGCTAAGTTGCCCAGACTGGACTCAAACTTGACATCCTCGTGCCTCAGCCTCCTGAGTGCTAGGATTGCAAGCATGCACAAGCATATATCACCATGCCTGGCTCAACTCTTTTTCTTCTTGTACTTGATTGGCTTCATTTCCTTCCTTCCTTTCTTCCTCCCTTCCTTCCTCCCTTCCCTCCTTCCTTCCTTTCCTTCTGTACCGGGGATTGAACTTGGGACCTTGTGCTTTTGAGGCAGCTGGCCGAACCACTGACCTAAATCCCCAGCCCAATTGGCTTCGTTTTCTACATTAGATTTTAGAGCTCTTTGGAATTTGTCCCAGTACGAGGAATACATCCAACTTCATCTTTTTCTTCCTTAAAATTTTGATTTGCTTAACTGTGTCTAAAATTAGTCATTATCTCCCTGAACAGTATATGAAACTCAGAATAATTGCTCAAACCATCTTCCTTCCCTCTTACGAAATACTAGATTCTAGTATTCCACTTTTTTACCACCAAATTAAACATTATTAGCATTGTTTTATGCAGTCTGTTTATATTCATTCACATTTGTCATTTCAGTTCTCATCCTTCTGTCTCCATTTCAGAGCTTACTCCTCAGTGCATTTTCCTGCTTCCTAAGGCAGATTCCTCTTGGGAGCATTCATTGAAATAAAAAATTTTTTTAAGTCTTTACTTCAGGCTGTTTTTAAATCTTCTTTTAGCTGAGAATATGACTCTGGGTTCTCCTACAACGGTACGTTATCCCACTGATTTCTGGCTTCTTATTTGTTGTTGAGAAATTAAGGTTCCTTTTTACTTAATCCCTCATTTTTCTCTAGGTTTTAAAAAATAGATTTCACTTCTTTTGTTGTCCCAGAGCTTCACTGCTCCATATCTAGATGTGAATTTCCTTTGTTTTTCTTGCTTGACCTTAGGGCCTCTTGAAACTTTAGGATTGATATCTTTCACCAGTTCTTGAGAAATTCTCATCTATTATCTTTTTTTTTTTTTTTTTAATATTGTCCTTCTACCCTTCTGTATTTTTCTTCTAGAATTGTGATTAGACATTGAAGGTCTGGCAGTACGCAAAAGGATTCAGGTCTGATAATCTAATAATGGTGTTTGTTATCTTTATGCAATAATTTTAAGCTTTTTATAGCATGGGAGGGGTTTGAGAGGAGGTCTAGACCACCATATATTTCAGCAACAGAGCTCTGTTCTTTTAAAATATTAAAATTCGGGGTTTAAACAAAGAGGAGTGGCTTGTGGAAGAATTAAAGAGAGGGACCGGGGGTTTAGCTCAGTGGTTTCGCTACCTGCTGCGCAAGCACAAGGACCAGAGTTCGATCCCTGGTACCAAAAAAAAAAAAAAAAAAAGAATTAAAGAGAGAGGAAAAGCGGCGGCTCCAGAACCCTTGCCTTATGCGTGAGGTGCTTGCCATCTGTGTCCTTGGTGGCCACTCCTTATGCACCTGCAAGGCTCCCTCCTGTGCCTCCCCAGATGACAGCAGGGATGGGGGAGGGGACTTGTGTCTTCTTTCTGTCTCCTGGTTTTTCCTGACCTACCCCAGTGCTCTGCTTTTCCTTCAGCTGAAGTTCCCTACTTTTTTTCAAATCTCACATAACAAATTTAGCTAAAGAGCCATTACACTTAGAGTCTCATGTCCCTTGATCTCTGTAATATGCTTTCATTGGGACAATAAAATCATAAAAACCATCAGCAGTGATTCCGTGAGGAGGCCCAGTAGAGGGGGGATGGGAGGTGAGTCTACTGAGTCAACCTGTGCCACGTAGCCCCTTAGTTCTCACTGCCTGAGGAACTGATGTGTCCCTGTCGTTAAGAAATTAGTCCAGGGGCCCTGGATTTAGCTCAGTGGCTCCCCCGCCTGCCTAGGTCCCGAGTTTGATCCCTGGTATCAAAAGAAATTAGTCCAAAGCCAGATGTAGTGGTGCATGCCTGTAATCCTAGCACTCAGAAGGCTGAGGGAGGAGGATCACTACAAGTTCGAGGCTGGCCTGGCCTACATAGTGAGTTAAGGACAGCCTTAACTGCCTAGTGAGACCCTGTCTCAAAAAAAAATTAGTCCAGAAGGCTGAGCATGGTGGCTCATTCCTGTAATCCCAACACTTGGGAGGCTTAGGCAGGAGAACTGCCATGAGTTCAAGGCCAATTTGGGCTACATAGCAAGACCCTGTCTCAGAAAACAAACTAACAGAAATAAAACAAAAAATGAGTCCAGTCTGTCTTTGAGCTCAATTCTGTGTGTTCTGTGCATCTCACCTCTTCAGGTAATGAGTGCTAGAAGCCTCTTCCTCACTATTTGAAATAATACTCTGTCTCCAGCTGATCCAGATTTCAGAATGTGGATAGGAGTGAAAATATATGATTGTCTCTAAACTGTGTTTGTTAGTGAAGAGAAGCAAAGGCGTAGAGAACTGTAAACATTTTAGGAAGGGCTTGAGAAGGTAAACCTTGAAGACAAGACTTCTGCAGTACTGGGGATTGAACCCAGGGCCTCACACATTGAACCCTGGGGAAGCAAGCACTCTCCGCTGGGCTATGTCCCCAGCCCTGAAGACAGGAATTTAACCTGGAAAGTAGTTGAGATTTCCCTCACCCAAGCCTCCGTATTCCCAACTTTATTTAGTGGATGGCAGCTCTTACAGTTACAAAGTACCAACCTAAATAGAATTTCCTTATCCAGCCCCTCCACAGATTGGCTTGCTATTTTGGCTCATAATTTCTTAGAAACACAATTAATTAAGAGTTAATTGAGTTAATTACTAAAATGAGCTATAATACCCGTACTTGAGGATTAGTTATATTAGCTGTTTATGGTGGCACATGCACGTAATCCCAGCACTCTGGGAGGCTGTGGTGGGAGGATCACAGATTTGAGCCCCGCCTGCTCACCTTAGTGACTTAGTGAGACCCTGTCTCAAAAAAATGAAAAGGGTACCGAGAGCGTAACTCAGTGTGAAGAACCTAGTACCGCATCAGTCCCCAGTACCACATAACACACGCACACAAATCTATACTTATGTTAGCAAATAAGTTATAATAAATTAGGGCCAAACAAACAAAAGGTACATTTATAGTTGATTATAAATTGCACATCCATTTTTAGTGACTTCAGAAATCCTTCAATCCTAGATGGCATTCCCTGAGCCCAGAACAGCATTCAGGCCCCTATTCTAGTGCTTTACCTGTATTAGCCCATCTAACACTTAGACCAGGTCTCACAGATGGGGCACAGGAAGGTTAAGTAAAGGTCACAAAGCTAACAGGTAACAAAATGGCTCAAAACAGCTGGCCTGGCCCAGAACTGCTGCCATGGCTGAGCTGGTGCATAAAGCCCCCACCGCTATCACCGAGTGGCTTAGGTCTGAGTCTTCGGAGTGTATTTTCAGTAGACGCTGTGGTATGGAAACTGATTCCGTAGTTGGCTTCTTTAGTTTCCATGGGCTTAGGGGAAGTCTGGGAGTTCTGTGTCCTCATTGTGCCAACTTGGTGACCTGCTGTCCTTTTCAGTTTCTGTTCCAGCAGCTGGGAATGTTGGTATCCTTTGTGAAGAGCCACATTAGGCCTTACATGGATGAAATCGTCACCCTCATGCGTGTGAGTAGAAGTTAACACTTTGGCCTGCTTATCCATGTTTAGGTCCAGGGAAGCTCAGAAGCAAGTTTGATAACATGGACTTTTTTTTTTTTTTATGGATCATTGTGGAGCTGTTATGACTTAAGTATAAAAAGTGGAGCAAAGTAGCCCATTGGGTTTGGAGGAGGAGAGGAAGGGCTGTTGGTTCTGGCTCTCAGGTATAAGAATACACAAGATGGAGTCAGGGGAGGAATCCTGAAGCAGTTGTTCTGCCAGAAATACTCTTGAGTTATTTGCCTCACACAACAAAGCAATTTCACTTTAATGCTAGAACAGTGATTTCCTATCCCCTTGAAAGCCCTCTTCTTATTGCCCATAAAACTGGCCTGAAGAGGAGATTAGGGTTGTATTTTCCTAGGTTGTTATCAGATACCACACTTTCCTCAGATACTGAGGAACAAGGTAATGCTCTGCCCTGCTGCCTCCAAAAGCACAAATGTCACCTTCTGACTGCATTGGCACATGAAAAATGGTTCCGGGTCAAGGAGTTTATAACATGCAGTAAACAGGTGCTGGAAGACACCCCATTTACGGCAGTTTCATTTTTCCTACTGTTCTGTATAATTTTAACGTCTTTGTTAGGAAGGTTGCTTTGTAGAGTAGATATGGCTGTGTCCTCAGAGTTGAACATTGATTTCTGTTCTCCCATCCTAGACCTTTGTAGTTGGTTTGGAGGACACAGCAAGGCCCAGCACCTGGCCCTTAGAACTGAAAACTCCTGCATGTGTAAATCATTAAAAGCTGCGCAGTTCCCCACTCCTACAACAGAGGCCTCTGTGCAAGGAAGGTTTAGGCCAAATGCCAAGAGCCCAATGGATGGTCTTGGGGGGAGGAGAGGCAGGGAGGGAAGCAGTGTACTCGGGGCAGGAAGTCAAAATGTTTCCTCCAAAAAAAGATGTATGACCAAAGCAGGGAGCTTTGAGGCAACAGCCTCATACCTGCAAAGTGTGGCTTTCATTTCATCCCAGATGGAGAAGGTGCAGCAGGGGCTCTTCCTTTGGCTGTTGATCCTGAGCATTTTAATGAGCTCCCTCAAGCCTAGGAAGAGAACAGTCTGTGAGCATTGCTGCGGCCGACATCCCTAAGCGGGCGCTGGCCTTTGAACAGAGGGCCCCTGTGAGGAGCCCCTGGAATGGAGTTGGGAAGTCAGTGGGCTTTCTCTGAAGAAGCCAGAGTACGGCCCAAGTGAATGAACACCACACAGAATGGGGGGCCTGGAGACCCGTGGAGTTTCTTTGGCAGCGCTTTTTATCTAGAGTAAACATAGCTTTTTTGGAGAATATTTCTCTCAGCTGAGAGTAAGTTTGACTAGCATCTTCTGGTTTGGTTTTTACTCTCTAAATTGTTAATGCTTTAAATTTCTTTTTATTTTCTCTCTCTTTTTTTTTTTTTTTTTTGGTACTGGGGATCGAACTCGGGTCCTTGTGCTTGCGAGGCAGGCGCTGGAACCACTGAGCTAAATCCCCAGCCCTTAAATTTCTTTTTAAATAAAAATACTTTATCCTTCTATAAAGCCTTTCATGTAAGAAGTTATCCTTGTTTTACTGACTTCTATTCTTAATTATTTAGGAGCTCTAAGAGTATTGATATTCATATGTTGTCTCACCGAAGAGAGCAGGAGGTGCCTGGCCTGGGCCAATTTGCCTTGCAGTTCCAAAGCAGGATCTGCGGTCCATTGGCCAGGTTTTTATTTTAGTAACTTTTACAGGTTATAATTTCATGGAAGTGAAAAGTGCTCATTTTGTGGCACTATCCAAGGGTGATGGATAAATTTAAGTGGACACATATCAGATAGCATCTAGCAAAATGTAAATCCAGAACACACAGGAAATCTTGGTAACCCCAGAGTAGAGATCAGATGGTATCAAAGTAGATTAACTGCCCTACACCACTTCTGAGCTCTTCGAGTGACTTACATTTAGGCATCTGTCGTTCTGCAAATCTGTATGAGTATTCCAGATGATCTGATAGATTCTGGGGATGCAAAGATGAATCAGGGCAGTTTCTTGCCCTTAAATAGCCTACAGTCTAATGGAGGGTGCAAAGCAGTTTAAGGATTATAGGTCCTAGGAAGGTGGAGTGCAAAGGGACCCAAAGTGGATGACGGTGGAACAGGAAGAGTGAGAAGTGAGCCATGACCGGGGTCTGGACAGCCAGGTGGGGCTTAGCTGAGCAAGAAATGGAATTCTAGGCAAAGGGTGCAGCATGAGCAAGGCACAGGGGAATGAGCAGCCCACGCACCTGGAGAGGTACAGTTCAGTTCACCCAGCGCACTGTGACACGGGCCCAGTGAGAGCAAGGCGGGAAGGAGTTCACCGGTCCGACCACACTCACTCCGTTTTCGCTTGTCAGCCATCTCAGTTTTTTGGTTCACAGTTCAGCAGAGGGGCATCTGACAAGCTTTCTGTCTCTCCCCCTTCATAGGAATTCTGGGTCATGAACACCTCGATCCAGAGCACAATCATTCTTCTCATTGAGCAAATTGTGGTAGCTCTTGGGGGTGAGTTTAAGCTGTACCTGCCCCAGCTGATCCCACACATGCTGCGGGTCTTCATGCACGACAACAGCCCGGGCCGCAGTGTCTCTATCAAGGTGAGCAGCCTGCAGTCCTCTGGAGAGATTCCATCTTCCTCCGGTCCCTGAGTGGTCAGGCAAGAAGCGCACCCTGTTTTGAGTCACAAGTTGATGTCTGCTCCCCAAGGCCAAATCCCAAGAAGACTGATACCAATGCTTGCTGTTTATATTCCACAGAATGTTCGCAGTCTTCTCTTGATTTCCTCATGTTCTGTCTTCTTTAATGGATTATTTTCAGTAAACTGTTTTATCCCAGGCCAGTTTTCTCTGTGATCCAGCAACTGATGCTGATCAAGCACAGAGAAAATTAACTAATATGTAAGCAAATGAGATGAGGGGAGAATGGGTCATCAAGGACTGGCTCAAAGCTGTTCCATGAAGACTTTTCAGAGTCCCCAGAGAACTTAGAATAATCTATACCTCTGCCGTGTCCATATCCTCGGCTGTGTGGTACCTGACTGTACTTGTTCAACGCCTTGCCCTTGTTCCCTTTGCAGCTGTTGGCGGCAATCCAGCTGTTTGGTGCCAACCTGGACGACTACCTGCATTTGTTGTTGCCTCCAATCGTGAAGCTGTTCGACGCCCCTGAAGTCCCACTCCCATCTCGAAAGTAAGCACCTACACTTGGGGATCAGTGAATCAGTGATTGTTAAATAGCTCTTAGTGTTTTGTTGAAGAGGTTTTTTTTTGGGGTTTTTGAGGCAGGGTCTCGCTATGTAGTTCGGGCTGGCCTTGAACTCACTATGTGGCCCAGGCTGACCTTGGACTCACAGTGATCCCCCTGCCTCAACATTCCAAGTCCTGGGATTACAAGCAGGCTTTACCTCACCTGGCTAAACATGTCATTTTTTAAAGTTGCCAGGCCATCTTTCGTTTGCTTAATTTTTTTTAACTCCCATTACTTTAGGGCAGAAATTTCTTAGATTTGTAGAAATCTGGCTTGTCCCCACTGCACTGGAGTGTATGGTGGCCCCATGTTATCCACAGCACCTCAGAACTCCTTCCTGTTCCTTCAGCCACCTCCCTCCAGATTATTTGCTTGTAGCGGTCCCTGTACACTCGTGATTGTTGCAGGGCAGCGTTGGAGACAGTGGACCGCTTGACTGAGTCCCTGGATTTCACAGACTACGCCTCCCGGATCATTCACCCAATTGTTCGAACCCTGGACCAGAGCCCAGAGCTGCGTTCCACAGCCATGGACACCTTGTCTTCACTTGTCTTTCAGCTGGGGAAGAAGGTAAGATAGGAGGCCTGAGCAGGTGGTTGCTTTTTTGTCTTGTTTGGGAAGAAGGCTTTGTAAGCTTCTCCCTTTGTTAGTCTGTAGGTCCCAGTGACCATCAAAGAATGTGGAGCTGTTTGCTCTTTTGTTGTTGGTCTTCATTTGTCAGCAGATATTTGTTAAGCCCCTGTGTGGGTTAGGTGTCTTCTGAAGAGAGCACAGTGTTCTCAGCACTTCTATTCCAATGCAGTGGAGCAAGCAAACCCCGTTTGTCTCCTGAGAGTGATGGTGCAGGTGGGGAGGAATGCTGTCTATGGAGTAGACAGGGAGCATTCTCTGGGAAGTTGCTGTGTGAGCAGAGACCCACATACACAGCCAGGCCTGGAGAGCTGACTGCTGACAGAAGGCATGGAACACAGGTGGAAGCACCTATGAGGAGTTCATTGCACAGTGTGACTTGAGGAGTGAGCAGAGAGGAGGGCTTGGAGCTAAGGTCATAAAGGTAAGGCAGGATGACACAGGGGAGAGACTAGATCTTGTAAGACAGGGTGAGGGTCTTAAAATCTGATCCGTAGATCAGCAAAACCACCCTCCTCATGCCTGGGAACTTGCAGAGTGCAGAATCCCAGGCCTTGCCCCACACCCGCTGAATCAGAAACTTGGGCTGTGGATCCCGCCAGTGTCTGGTTTCATCAGCCCTCTGGGTAGTGCAGCTGCCCACTAACACACAGGTCACTGAGGTGGGCCACCCTGAGTACTTCAGCTTTTTCTCTGAGCAAGACTGGAAGTCCTTGGGGGATACTGAACACAGGAAAAATATACTTGACTCAGTATTTTCATCTGATTACTCTGAGTCCTGTGAGGAGAAGTAGAGTGTGGGGCTGAGATGGAAACAGATGTGGGAGAGGACATTACAAGAAGCCAACGGAGGGCCGGGCATTTAGCTCAGTGGTTTAGCTGCCTGCCTCTCAAGTGCAAGGTCCCGAGTTCAATCCCCAGTACCAAAAAAAAAAAGTCAAATGGAGCCAGGCATGGTGGTGCACACCTGTTATCCCAGGACTTGGGAGGCTGAGGCAGGAAGATCGATTGCCATTAAGTTCAAGGCCAGCCTGGGCTACATAGCAAGACCCTGTCTCAAAAAAACAAAACAAAAAAAGAAACCAAAATGGAAGATAGTGGGAACTAGAGTAGGATTGTAGGCAGGGTAGGGAACATGGATTCTTCAGAACAGCACAAGAGCTAGCCAACTACCTGGAAGAACTAGCTACACTGTAGTTGTGTGATATACTTTTCTCTACTTTCCACCTTCCAGAGTAATGGTTTCTGATCTCTTCTTCACAGTACCAAATTTTCATTCCAATGGTGAACAAAGTTCTAGTGCGACACCGAATCAACCATCAGCGCTATGATGTGCTCATCTGCAGAATTGTCAAGGTGAGTACCCTTCCTTTCTGCTTTGAAGTTGTCTCTACTTACTTTTTTGGGGGATTGAACTAAAGGCATGGAGCCACTGAGCTAAACCGTCCATGCTTGGCTTTTTCACTCTGAACAAGGACTGGTGAACTGTTTTGGTAACTGTAGTGAGTTTTTTCAGCATTGTAGGCTGTGTGGTCTCTTTCACCTGCTGAGCTCTGCGCTCAGCCTGAAAGAAGCCATGTGCAACATGTAAGCAAATGAGCCTGGCTGCATTCCAGTAAAACTTTAATATGGACACCGAAACTTGATTCTCCCAAAATCTTCATGTATTACAAAATATTAATCTTCTTTTGGTATTGTTTTAACCATTTGCTATGTAAATACCATTTATAGCTCTCAGTGTACAAAAACAGGTGGCAGGCTGTTTGCCACCTTTGCTGCAAAACACTTCACCACTTTTACCTTATCTCAGTTGTTTGCCTTCACTGCCTTTGAAATCTTGGCTCTTTCAGAGGGTCTGCACCTCATGAGGTTTGTGCATGTTTTCCTAAGTGGGGGTGCAGGTGTTTTCTGTAAACCTCTGCTTGCAGGGATACACCCTTGCAGATGAAGAGGAGGACCCCTTGATTTACCAGCACCGGATGCAGAGGAGTGGCCAAGGAGATGCACTGGCCAGTGGGCCAGTAGAAACAGGACCCATGAAGAAACTGCATGTCAGCACCATCAACCTCCAAAAGGCAGGTCCCTGGCTTCCAGAGGATTGGGGAGGAGCACTTATTTCTTCTGTCTTATCCAGAACTGAAGTTTAAGCCAGCCAGCAACAGGCCCCAGGATTTTTCCAAAAATCTAGATATCATGAACTTGGCCATTTTATCTTTCTCCAGATGTCTGGCTTGTAATTTTTTTTTTAGTAGAGAGAAAAAGTAGAGAGCCAAGTATCTTTTTATGTTCCCTTGAACTTTGATAATAGAACTTTTTGTTGGAAATAACATTCTCATTCTCTCTCTCTCTCTCTCTCTCCCTCTCCCTCTCTCTCTCCCTCTCCCTCTCCCTCTCCCTCTCCCCCTCCCTCTCCCTCTCCCTCTCTCTCTCCCTCCCTCCCTCTCCCTCTTGTCTCTCTCTCTCCTCTCTTTTTTTGGTACTGGAGATTGAACTCAGGGCCTCCCACATGCTAGGCAAGTACTACAGCATCTCCAGCCTTATTTATTTATTTACTTATTATGGTTTTGGGGGATTGAACCCAGGACTTTCACAGTCTTGATTTTTTAGTTTGAGGCAGTTTATTTATTTATTTATTTATTTTTGTTGGTACTGGGGATCGAACTCGGGTCCTTGAGCTTGCGCAGCAGATGGTGAAACCACTGAGCTAAATCCTTGGCCCCGAGGCAGTTTATTTTGAGTTGCTGAGTTGCCCAGGCTGGGCTCCCACTTGTGATCCTTCTACCTCAGAGCCCAGGGTGTTGGGATTGCAGACGGGCACCACCATGCTCAGCTCTAACATTCTTGTTTTTGACATGAACAGAACAAAGCCAGTGAGCACCCTCCTAAGCACTACGGTGCTGTAAAGCTGTGCTTTTCAAACTTCTCGATCTCCCCGGGCTTACCAGTTGCTGGGGACCTTATTAAAATACTGACTCTGATGCAGGCCATCAGAGGTCAGACCTGATGTGCACTCCCAACAAGCTCCCTGCTCATGTGCTGCTTCTGTGAGTAGTGAGGTTTTAAATCTTTGCAAGTATTGGACTGTCCCTGCTGAGAAAAGCCACAGATATGGCCAGCTTTTCACCAGGTATGCCACCAGCCAGCCACCTGAAAACACTTACAGAGCAACTCTAGTTAAACAGAGCAGAATAATCATAATTGCTTCATCAAGTTTTAAATATATGTACTGGCTTTCTTATTTTCCACATTTAGTGTCTCCAGAGACTAAGCTATGCTCAGTTTGGATTTCAGCATGGCTTTAGTCTTCATTTATTACCAGCTGACTCAGAGCAGTTACACTTTACGTGTGGTTGCAGAAGGGGAGAGAACTAGGCAGGCTGGTGTCCCAGCTGACTCGTTCTCTTCTTTTGGCCAAGCCTATAAATATTAGAACACAGTCACATGTATGTGGATGCCTGTGCCCACACTCAGCTTTGGAACACTGAGGACTATTACTGAGAATACTTGCTGATTACAGTTGGAACAGGTGAAATAGCCCTGGTTGAGGGAGATGCTGCTTTCTCTCAGGTGATCTCCTACTTGCTAGTCCTAAGATTTCAGAGAAAGAAAAAGGTCATCAGCTCCCTGACATCCCCAAGCAGTTGTTTAAGCCACGATGCCGACACCTCAACACCTGACACTTTGCAGGGCAGAGGCCAGATGTTTGAGCCTGCCTGGTTTCAGAATGTCCTTCCAAGCAGCTGTCCTCCCTGCTTTGGAGCTTTTTCTCTCTGTATTAGGAAATTCCCCTCCGTAATCTAGTTCACTTCTAGGAAGTTTTTTTATTTTGCTTTGTTTTTGTTTTGAACTGAGGGCTTGCTGTGAACTGTCCAAGCTGGCCTTGAACTCCTCCTGGGTTCAAGTGATCAAGCTACTCCTTCTGAGTAGCTGAGATTTCAGGTGTGTGCCAGCATGTCTGGTGCTTAAAGAAGATTTGATTTCTACCTAGAACTTGGAAAATAACCATAACCCTTACCAAAAAAGACTCTCTAGTTGATCTGAACCTGAGAGAACATATCAATTTTAAAAGCCCTAAGCAAAATCCTCCACAGTTGACTTTTGGACTCATTTCATTGGAAACTAAATTGTGCTTCCACTTAATCATATATTTATCACTTTTATCTAACTTTCAAAATAATAGTTTGCCACCTCAGTCACCATTCCATTGTCTGTGCAGACAGAGGATTAACATGGTACAGAAGACATAAACACCATTTGTGTATGGCCCTAGATTTCCTTGTGGTTTCAGCAGCTTTACTGCCTTGTGACTGGCTGTCCATCGGAGTGGAGAAGCTGGCACTCTGTGTACATGGAGCGGCCTCACTAGATGAGTCAGTCCACATTGGGTGGACAGCAAGAGGAAACTGGCCCGCATTTACAGTGTGGGTGCAGAACCTGGAGAATTAAAGAGCAGGCAGGAAAGATCTGCAGGTGGATGTGTCCTCTTCACTGCTGCCCAGTGCACTGTCTGTTAAACTTATTTTTGAAGATTTCTTTACTGCCATTTATCATATAGTAACAACAGTAAGGTAATGGTAGCAGTAGCAGCAGCAGCTGACATTTTTTTGATTGCTTTCTGTATGTTCGGGACTGTTGTGAGTGCTTGATGTAGTTAGTTATTACTTTTTTTTGTTTTTGAGACAAAGTCTTGCTAAATTGCCTGGGCTGGTCTTGAAATTGTGATGCTACTGCCTCAGCCTCCCAAGTAGCTGAGATTACAGGTTTGTGTCATCACATCTGGCTAATCATTTACTATTGGTCTTTTTTTTTTTTTTTTTTCCAGTACTGGGGATCAAACTCAGGACCTTGAGCTTGCGAGGCAGGCAACGGGGCCACTGAGCTAAATCCCTGGCCCATCATTTACTATTAATCTTCTTAATAACCCATCATGGTCCCCATTTTATAGATGTGGACTTTGAGGAAGCGAGAGGTTAAATAATTTGTCCCATTTCTCAGCTAGTAGTACATGGTGGAGCCAGGTTTTAACCTCGGTAATTTGACTCCCGAACCAGCTCTCTTGTCCCTGTGCTGAGTCACGTCTGCATTACCTAGGCCCAAGCTCACATAATGGAGAGAGAAAGAAATTAGTACCTGCTTGTTGATGTCCAACTTTTTTGTGCTGTATAATATAATGCAGCTATGCATAGACCAGTTGTGTGGATAAACCAGGAATCTATGGACAGAAAAGGACTTTGTTCTATGTCACTGAGCAGAATAAGGTTTCAAAGTCAAGAAGTGGTATTTAGTCTCATTTTTCCTTCAGGATTCTCCCTGTAAGGTCAGCAGTGAGTTTTTGGTTTGTGTCTTATTTTTGTTTGTGTTTGGTTGGTGTTTTGGTTTGTGCCTTGTAATATTATCCTTTGGCGCTGACGTGAAATGATAATTTGTGCAGCATCGCTCACAGATGCATAATAGCAGCAGCAGATCTTCATTTCACCCCAGGAAGGTGACAGTCAAGTTGTAGTGGGTCAGGTGGTGTAGCACATGGTGTCTTTTTACTCCCTTGATTATAAGTTAGAGAGTTTCTGCTCTAACTTAGGTCATTTCCCCAGTTTCGGGAAGATCGACATGTCTATTCTGCTGAAAGTCTTTGAATAACTTATTTTAGAAGTTAGGAATTTAGAAGTTCAGGCTAGGCCAGCTCAGTTAGATGGCACTGTGATACTAGCCACCACTTCCTGCTCCTCTGTTCTGTGTGGGGCCCCTGGGTACCTTCTCCTTGGATGAGAAAGCCTGAGGCTCAGTTACAGCATACCTGCAATTTGCCCAGGGTGTTGGGGCTGCTGGGTGTGAGGGCCAAGATCTCAGCCAGATATTTCTTTTTTTTTTTTTGGTACCGGGGATCAAACTCGGGTCCTTGCGCTTGCGCAGCAGGCAGTGAAACCACTGAGCTAAATCCCTGCCCCACAGCCAGATATTTCTGACCTCAGAAAAACAGGCACTCATGACTCCTGTGCCAGACACTGTTGAAAGTTCATTGTTTACTAACTCACTAAATCCTAAGACACCTCAGGAAGGGGAAGCTATCATCCTCACTCTGCAGATGAAAAAACTAAGGTACAGAAGAGTTACATAACTCAGTGAGGATCAGAAGCCAATAAGTTACATAACTAGGACTTGCACTCAAGCCACTGAGCTCCAAGCCTGTTGGCCACTACTCCAGACCACCCTCTCAAGAGCCTGGTCTTTGCACCTGCCTAAGTTGCACCAGTAATACTTTTTTTTTTTTTTTTTGAAAGAGGTTCTCACTAAATCCCTAAATTTCCCATCCTGGGCTCAAACATTTAATCCTCCTCACTCAGCCTCCCAAAGTTCTGGCAGGGTAGTGCACTTGAGTTCAGAAGAAACTTGGAGAGGATAAACTAGACAGTAAAATATAAATCTGTTAACTCGTTTGTTGTTCCAGCACAGCGCCATGGCTTTGAGCTCACTGTGCACCTGGTTGTAGCATGCATGATTTGTGGACCCAACATTTTCCCTCTTCCTGGGCCACTGGACTGTTGGATGAGGTGATGACTGGCCTAATATAGAGAATACAGCTCCATTCACACATTGCTGGAGGCCACAGACTTTATTGAATATGCTCTGAGTGTGACATCCCCCTCTCACACCCCCAGTATGTTCTAGTTCTTTAGATTTCTCTGCTTTGCTGATGGTCAGAGTCCAGCACAGGCCAGTTGTAATACAGGCCTTTTCTATAGCACGGCGTATTCCAGAGGCTTTATGCCTTTTAATTAAGCAGCATTTTTAAAAAAAAAACTATCTGTGCTCTGGAGGAATTTGATCATAAGAGGTATAATTGTACACATCAAAGTAGAATTATCATTAAATGGATGAGGGCTCTTTACAGTGGTCCTCAAAGCTGATGGTTTTCCATTTTCACCTGTGGGGTCACAGGCCTGGGGAGCCGCCAGAAGGGTCTCCAAAGATGATTGGCTGGAATGGCTGAGACGGCTGAGCCTGGAGCTGCTGAAGGACTCCTCGTCCCCCTCCCTGCGCTCGTGCTGGGCCCTTGCACAGGCCTACAACCCAATGGCCAGGTACGGGGTCAGGCTCCCTCTGCCCACCTCTCGTTGGATCAGCACAGAAAGGATGATGTGTATAAAGTCATTTTTAGAGGTAATAGTAAAAGGCTAGCATGTTTAATTTTGCTAACTTGTGGGATCAAAACCAAAAAGAGGGCCGGGAATTTAGCTCAGTGGTTCCACTGCCTGCCTTGCAGGTACAGGGTCCCAAGTTCTATCCCCAGTACCAAAAAAAAAAACTGAAAAGAAAGTAAAAGGAAAATTGCATGAGCTTGTATTTTAAGAAAAGCATCCATCTAGCTAGTAGACCACAAGTTAGTTTCTTCGCTTAGTAGATTTAGGTCCACACTTTTCATTACAAAATCATTTACAACTCTGCAAACAGATGCATAATAGTTGGATATAACTTATTTTCAAGATACTTAACTCTTTATTGCTATATTACAAATACCACAGAATATGTTCTGGTTTAAAACAGCAGTCATGGGCCGGGGATTTAGCTCAGTGGTTCCGGAGCCTGCCTCGCAAGCGCAAGGTCCCGAGTTCAATCCCTGGTACCAAAAAACAAAACCAAACAAACAAAAAAATAAATAAAACAGCAGTCACTAGGGATATAGGCCAGTGGTAGACCACTTGCCTAGCAGGTTCAAAAAAAGTTTCACAAAAATATGCTGGGGACAGGCATACACCCATAGCCCCAGCCAGTTGGGAATTTGAGGGAGGAAGATCACAAGTGGAAGAGAATCCACTTCCGGGGCGGCTTGCTTGCCTGTCTGAGAAGTTGGGCTGCTGACTGGGGACCTAGCTCTGGCAGAGGCCTTAGGTCCTCTCCACGTGGATCTGTCATGCCATGGGCTCTTAGGCTTTCCCACCACAGGCATCTGGGTTCAAAAGCGATCCCTCAAGAGAAGGAAGCAGATGTGCACGGTGTATCTATGACCTAGCCTCGGAGGTCACACAGTGCCACCTCTGCCTCACTCAGTTCAGGGCAGTCACAAAGGCCCACTCAGGATCAGGTTCAAGGGAAGGAGATATGAATGCCACCTCTTGCTAGGGTAGCAGCAAGACTGTAGACGGCAAAAGGCACAAAAGGTACTGCTGTAAGCATGTTTGGAAAATAGAATTTATCAGGAAAATTTGTTTGTGTTGTTTCTTGGTGTCGAGGGTTGAACCCAGGGCCTCAGACATCCTAAGCATATGCTCTTAATACTGATGTGTATCCCCAGCCCCAGATAGCTTTTGTTTTTTTTTGTTTTTTGGTTTGTTTGTTTGTTTGGGGGGTTTTTTGGTCTTTTTTTGTTTTTATTTTTATTTTTGTTTTTTGAGTCAGGGTCTTACTTTCTAGTACAGTCTGGCCTTGAACTCATTATGTGCCCAAGCTGGCCTCAAACTCAAGGTAATCCTCCTGCTTCAGCCTCCTGAGTGCTGAGATTACAGACATGTGCCACCACACATGGCTACCAGATAGATATTTTAACACTCCACTTGGCTGTGCAAATGGATAGTCTTCTATGAAGTTGAATGTGTGTGGCAGCGAGTACTGTCAAATTCCAGTCACACAGGCAAACTCCACTGGAGAAAATCCTACCATATTATAACATACTTCAAACACCCAGAAGTTCACTGGCCAAGACTGGCCTCCACCTTAGCTTTGATAGTATGTAAGGAAGATAGCATTTTTTTTTCTTTCTGCTACCTGGGATCAAATTCAGGACCTTACACTTGCAAGGCAGGCGCAGAGCCACTTAGCTAAATCCCTGGCCTCTAACTAAATTTTATCACTTACCTTTGGTTACTGTGGGAGACTAGAGTTGGAAACTGTAGGATATACCTATAGTGGATGCCTCTGCATCTACTTTGTGTTACATATTAAAAAGTTAAGTTAGGGGGTGGAGATTTTAGTTTAGTGGCATAGCACTTACTAGAGTGTACAAGGCCCTGGGTTTGAACCTCAGCACTACAAAAAAGGCTACAGTAGACCAAAGTGTATAATTTTAGAATCCAATGGGAAACATAAAATTTGAAATTCAAAGGATAACATGAAGACCAAAAGAAGTCCTGGATAAATTAAAAAATAAGGTTTCGAGATCTAGATCAGAAGCCACATTGGCATTCAAAGGAAAATATTTGGGACTAAGCAAATAAACACATAAATGTGCATTTACCACAAGTCTCTTCTGGATGACACTGCTCAAAGATGACTTGGACAGAAGAGAGATAAAGCGGTACCTTGGTTCACAAACTTAATTCTTTCCATGATTCTGGTTGCAAACTGAATTGGACAAGAACCGAATCAAATTCAATGGTTAGGTTCAATATTGAACCTTATGGGGAAATTGGATTTGGTTATCGTCCAAAATAAATGAATAAATAAGATTAAAGTTAGATGTCAAGGACAACAAATATGTTTGTCTACGTGATGCTACAGTGACTTCAAGTAATTGTCTAATTTTAGAAATGGTATCTCTAGTTCCAGGTCTTTGTTAGGACTCCAGCTATTTGAGATGGGCTCAGAATCTTTTAAGGCTTGTAGATTTGGGGTCAGGAAGTACAGTGGTACCTTGGTTTACAAACTTAATATGTTTTACAATTTGTGGGGAGATGGCTGCATTTTTGTTTGTGGGAGATGGCTGTGGTCTTGTTTGTCACCTGATGGAAGCAAAATTTTGCCAGATGCTTTTTTTGCAAACCAAATTGTTTGCTTGGGGCCTTGGGTTCAATCCCTGGTATCACAAACAAACACACACACACAACCATAAGAAGAAACAAAAAGAAAGAGAAAAGAAGGAAGAGAAACCTGTGGATTTGGACTGTATTTGCTGATGTTTCTAATTTCTTGTATTGTCATTTTTTAATGATCATTCAACTAAAGGTCCTGATTATATTTAGAAAGGAAGGGCCAGGGATTTACCTCAGTTGTCTGCCGCCTGCTTTGCAAGTGCAAGTTCCCAAGTTTGATCCCCAGTACCAAAAAACAAAAACAACAACATAAAAGAAAGCAATAGCAGGTGATATTGTTGCCATTTCTTAGGAATCTGGGCACTGCCCTTTAAAAAAACAGCTCAAGAGGGGCTGGGGATTTAGCTCAGTGGTTCTGCCTCCTGCCTTGCAAGCATCAAGGTCCTGAGTTCGATCCCCGGTACCAAAAAAAAAGGAAACAGCTCAAGAGTCATTGGAAGATTATTTTCTGAATGTTAATGCCAACTCCACGTTACAAGTCCCCTTCCTATTCCTCCCCTCCATTCTAAAGAACTGCTGCAGAAACTGCCGAGAGATACACCTGTGGAGATGAGTTTGTTCTGCTCTTCTCCCGTCCCACCCTCCCACAGTCCCCTGCCACAGTGTCTGGACCTGTTCCGTAAAGTACAGTCGTCATTAGCCATGTGTAATTATTTTAATTTAAGTAAAACTAAATAAAATGTAAAATTCAGTTCTTCATTTTCACTTGCCACAGTTCAGGTGCTTAATAACCAGTGGCTACCATATTTTCTGGTACGAGTTAGAGCATTTCCAGCAACTCCCATGGAACAGCCTGGTCCGTGTAACCAAAGGCAGCAAACTAGAAGTGATTGGTAGTTGTGACTTTGTGGCACCAGGCATATGAACGAGAAAGGTTTCCACCATTTTCCCACTCCCCTGTGCCTTCAGGGATCTCTTCAATGCTGCATTTGTGTCCTGCTGGTCGGAACTGAATGAAGACCAGCAGGATGAGCTCATCAGAAGCATCGAATTGGCCCTCACCTCTCAAGATATTGCTGAAGTCACGCAAACCCTGTTAAACTTGGCTGAATTCATGGAACACAGTGACAAGGTGAGACTCTTCCCCTTTGTCCAGATGAAGGCTGACAAGGAACCAGCTGGTGGGAGGGCAAAAGCAGCCACACAGCCCACTCTTGTCTGTGCCCCATCTGCCGTTTTTCTATGCTGTGGGGTTCTGCTCTCCTCTAGGGGCCCTTGCCATTGAGAGATGACAATGGCATTGTCCTGCTGGGTGAGAGAGCTGCCAAGTGCCGAGCATATGCCAAAGCACTGCACTACAAAGAACTGGAGTTCCAGAAAGGTCCCACCCCCGCCATCCTCGAGTCCCTCATCAGGTAGGCCGTGAACCCGTTTTATCTTCTGCTTTATCCAAAATGACCTCTCTTCTGCTGCCTGGTGCCACCGCACTGGCATTGCTTGGAGATTTCTGCTGTCTGAAACCTGCCACCAGACCTGGCCAGCACTTTGAAATGACATGTGGCTGCACATGGCTCTTTCCAGTAGTCTGGCCATAATTGTTATTTCTGTTGACCACTTGGACTGTCCCTGTTTTCCTGCCTTCCAATCTTGTCCCAGTGATAAACTAGCCCAGCAGCAGAGCGGTTCTGCAGCACAGGAACCTAGGAAAGACGGAGCTGATGTCTGAGTTAGACGCTCTCTGGGCAGGATTAGGTTGTCCTGGCAACTAAATCTGTTGGTGCCTTGGTCTTCCTTTGCAGTTCTGTGAATATAAAGGGAGAGCAAAGGCTGAGATCTGGCGATCTTTTCCCTGGACTTTGTTGTATTCTGTCCTCTCATAAGATGGCTTTGAGTCTTCTGGGCATGGAATAAAGAGCTTGTTTAATAAATTTTCTGCTGTTGGGAGATTACAAGCAGCCCATCACATTAGCTTTAGCTCGTAGAAAACTGTTCTTGTTCCCTAATGATTATCAGAGAATATTAACTCTGGGTCTAATTATCTTCATGGAAATGCTGACATGATCCATCATTTCCCTGCAGATCCCTTGGGAAGAACCAGCTGCTAATAAGTTCCTCAGTTGGCTCATAAAGCCTGCTGAGCATGGGCTTCCGTTATTTGAGGAGATAATCAAATAGCCATGTTCTCTGCTGGTTCTGCCTTTGAGCCGATGCTGAAAAGTGTTCTTTTTAACAAGTGACACAAAAGCAATGGAATCATGTTTCTGCCCTGTAGGGAACAGGGGAAAGGGACGTTACCAGAACCTCTGCAGTGAGTCCTGGTCTCCTGCAAGCCAGGGCAGCACACGGCGAATTACAGGAAAGGTAGAAAAATGAGACTGAGAAGAAGCTGAGCTTTGGGTCTGATCAGTGCTGCTCTGGGCAGCAAAGACAAAAGCCCCCTAGCTTGCTGCACTTTTTATTCAGTACATGGGGAAACAGAGGTAACAAGTGAAATGCAGAGTTCAGTACTTCACATTGGGATAAACAAGGTGTAAAAAGACTGGGGGGCAGTGGAAATCTAAGAACAATGAGGAACTATGTAGATGAAGATTTGGTTCCTACCTGGAGCCTCCCACAGGTGTGGTCTTGTCCTGGAGCACTGGAGCATTACAGCATCTGGGGATCACTGAGGTCTCAGTTGTGACCCGAGGCCAAAATGCAGTTATGTCTGGAATGGTCTGGAATGTCGTAGGTGGCCTGTAGGCAGGAGAACTAGACCTATTCAAATGATTTTTCCCTAGAATTATGTAGCATTGCTCCCAGCACTGCCCAAACACACTGTTGTTGGAGACTGCTGATTCTAAACTGCCACACGGGACTGTACTGAGCACCACCTGCTGAGGCATGCCTCAGTGTGATTAGACACAGCAAGTGTGAAGACTCAATGTTTCTTCCTCCCATCTCTGGCTTAGGTAGCACAAGCTTCTGTGATAACTAATAGAAAAGATGCTAACTTGAAACACTAACTTCACCAGGAAATAACTATTTTTGTATATTAGTTTCCTTGCTGACCCTTTTCTGTTTAAGACCTATCATCTAAAGCCTCTCCCATGCTACTCTAGGCTTTCCCCATATTTGAGACAGTTATAGAAGTATTAAAGTTAGTGCAGATTTGTTAGTAGAGTTACATGACTAGAAAGTCCTCAAGAACATCATTTAATCTTAAGCCAATGTAATTGATAATAAGTCCTCAAAACTCCCTGCAAGTCCAGAATGTGGTAGCACATGCGGGTGATCTCAGCACTCAGGAGGCTGAGGCCAGAGGACCACTGCCAGTTCGAGGGCAGCCTGGGCCACATAGTGAGGTCAAGGGCAGCCTGGACTGCATAGCCTCAAAAAACCAAAATAAAGCAGAATTCTCTGCAAATTGATTGTGGCTACTTTTTTTTTGTACCGGGGATCAGACTCAGGACCATGTGCTTTCAAGGCAGGTGCCGGAACCACTGAGCTAAATCCCCGGCCCATGGCTTTTTTTTTTTTTTTAACTGCTTGCTGAGGGAAACCCTTGCTCTAAGCCCCTCAGGCCCATTCAGCTGTTTCATCTCAGTGTGAGGTCCTGTCCCAGAGGGAGCACAGCCTGGGGACTCCTCCCAGGTTTCACACCCTGGGTTGTACTGCTGGGAGCCACTACTTTGTTTTTGGGGTTGTTTTTTTTTATCAAACTCAGGTCCTTTCACTTGGGCAGCCAGAGGCAAAACTACTGAGCTAAATCCCCGGCCCTGTTTTGGTTTTTTTAAATTTTTGTTTTTTGGGTACCAGGAATCAAACTCGGGACCTTGGACTTTTGAGGCAGGCAGGGTGCCACTGAGCTACATCCCTGGCCCTGGGAGCCACTACTTTGGTCTGGTATTGGTAATGTGGCCTTTCAGTCATAGATTGTCTTCCTCATAGCAGCTCTGGAGAGCTCACAGCTAAAGTCAGGCTTCTCTCCAGTAAGTTACAGACAGGGCACCTGGTGTGATTATTAACCCCACCTCCCTGCTGCATTTTATTTTTCCTATTCTTATGTTCCCTTTACCACTTACTCTTTTAGAGCTTATTATATAAGCTTATTATATGTAAGGCCACTGCTTTAATTTCTTTTTGAAACAATTGGGTAATCCTACACAAAAACATCTTTGTGTAGCCGTTTCTTATTTTTTGTTTTTGTTTTTCAAAATTGTGCTCTGTTGACAATATTGTTCTCTTGCCACTGGTTCAGTCTGCCTGTCTTCCTGCCTATTGCCTTTTTTACCTCTCTGCTCTGGGACAACTAAAATCCCACATTATCCCCAAGCCAGGCCCGACATTGAGACAATATCAACAGTGCCATGTCCTCGGCGCTCACGTGCAGTATAAGCATAATTGCATCCTAGGGTACAGTGTATTAAGAGGGGATTGGATTACTAGGAGAGACACACACACCTGCAAAACTGTGTGGCTTTTACCTGGTTAGAGCTGGATGTTTTCACTGCCCAGCCCTTGGCTGTAGTCCCCCTTTAAAAAATATTTGATTTGGACTGCAAGACTAAACAACGGGCCAGTGCTTAGCAGGCAAATGTGCCTTTCAGGCTGCTTTGTGTGTCTTCTGCATGGTGCATTTGGTTCCTGTGATGTTGTCCTCTCTCAGCTCAGAGACCATGGGCCAAATCCTTGGTATCCATCATCAGCCTGCACCAGAACAGGTGCCTGGGAAATGTAGGTGCCATGGAAATCCACACCACTGCAGGGGGAGGGGCTGGGGTATTCTGAGCATTCTCTGACAACTGCTTTCCCTCTCCCAGTGCCCTTCTCTCTGAAAAGTTTCCCAAAACACTGAAAGAAGGTGACACACATCTATAATCCCAACTGCTGGGGAGGCTGAGACAGGAGAATCATAGGTTTGAGCCCATTCTGGGCAGCTTAACAAGGTCCTGTCTCAAAATGAAAAGTAAAAAGGGCTGGGGGCCTAGCTCAGTGGCAGAGCACTGGGCCAGGGTGCAAGAGGCCCTGGGTTCAATCTCCAGCACCACAGAGAGGCGAGGGTGAGAAGGAGAGCACAAAGGCTGGTTTGAATGAAAAGCATCAGGGGGACGAGAAAGGTCACTAGCTGCTTCTGCCACGGGCCTCTCGCTCTCTTCTCCCCCTTTAAGCCTGGTTCTTTGTGTCCACTCCTCCTGGCAGTGTGGGGCGAGCGCCCCAGATCCTCCTGCCTGCCTGGGAAGCCTCTGTGTGAATGTCTGTTCCATGGGAAGCCCAACTCCAGTGTGGTTCTGCTTCGTCACTTTACTTCTTTGAAAACCCTCAGGGTCCTCTTTTTTTTTCTTCTCTCCTTCGGTACCGGGGATCGAACTTGGGACCTTGCCGTTACAAAGCAGGTGACGGAACCACTGAGCTAAATCCCTGGCCCCAGGGTCCTCATTTTTAAACTGACTTGGGTTCCCAACAACCAGAGGGCTGTAGGCACGAGAGGAAATACTGAGTAAAGAATTACTTGACATCTCTTGTGTTAAAGATATCTTTCTTCTCTTTGTTTTTAAGTACAAGATAGGAAAACGTTTGCAAAGAGTTTTAAAACTATGTGGCGACAGTGCCTGCATGGGGTTACTGAGTGGCCAGGATCTGGTCCTTCCCCAGGGCTCCTGTCCTTTTGTCGCTCATCTTTCCTTTTCTTTCTTTGGCTCCCTGCTCCACCTTGGTTTCCCTGAATCCTACAACAAACTCAGAGTGTCCTTCTCACTACAGACTGTTTTTTTTTTAATTGAAATTTTACCACATTCTAAGTGGTAATGAGAAGGATTAAAAAGAAAATACTCAAGAATTTAAGTACTGACTATAAGGAAGAGACACTTTGAACATTTAAGTCACAAATTACAGTATTTTATTTTTACAAAGCAAGATGCTTATATACAGCTTGAATTGTTAACCATAGCTCCACCTGTCTTCATTTTTCAGCCATTTCTTATCCACAAGATAAAAAAGGAAGCTCTTTGAGCTCATTTCTCACAAAGTGAATAAAAGTAGGTGTGTCGCTGTTGACTGTGACTGTTATAGGCGGGTTTGTGCGAGGCTCCATGAGGGGCTGCACCCCCTTCCCACTGCCCCCATGCTTCCTGCTGCACCAGACCTGTCTCACCTCTCGGTGCTGTTCCCTAACCCAGGTGACGGGAGGGGCTCCAAGGGTCCGACTCCCCGAGGGCCCTGGGGTCTCCTCAACAGACACAGCTCATCTCCAGCCCAACAACTTTTGTGTATGCTAAAAATGATTTCATTTGATTTAAAAGCAGAATTTCCTCTCCTCTCCTACCCACTTCTGCTCCTTTCTGTAACACTCAAGCTTCACCTTTGAGAGTCAAAATAACATTCTTTTTAGCAAAGGGATTTGCTTTTTGCCTCACATAACTTAGAGAAAGTGGATAAACGGTTGCTTTGTCAGGGATGAGGGACAGAGTGAGCCCACTCCGCCCGGTCCCTGAGTGGTATGTGGCAGGATCCACTGGGTTTAAGTGCTTCATCCCATTTCCGGGACATCCTTGGTGCAAACCATTTTATTGGGTGCATGTGCTGGCTTGGATGGCACATATATTAAATTATTTTATGCTTCTCAGAGAGTTACTCTCACCTTGGTGATTGCAGGCCATTGCTCATCCTGCCCTTTCTACAGCCTCTCCCTGTCCCACACGGCTCTCCCTGTCTCCACATCCCCTTGCTGTAGCCCTGCTCCTCAGCAGCCTCCTTTCAGGGCCTGAAGCCTTCAGGGCGGATTTTCATCTCCACGCGTTTGAGGGAGTAGCTGGCGCCGTGCCAGCCGTACCAGGTGATGCCATCCAGGTGCTGCTTGTGATCACCCTGGCGGTAGTAGACCCCATTGAGGTTGGAGTCCGTGCAGCAGTTGTACCAGTATCCACCTGGCATAAGAAACAGGCCAGGGCCGGTAAGCTGAGGATGCCCTCGCCTCCAGACAGACCATGGCTGCTTGGTCTCAGGGAAGCAGTTGGAGCCCATAGCGGGAAGGACACCAGCTGCATGGCTCTGACTGCAATCATGGGCTTGTTTTACCTGCTCCTTCCCCTCCTGATCTCACCTTTGCGGAGCTGCGCACACTTATCCAGGCAGTTGTCATTGTCCTTGTCCTTGGTGCTGAAGGCTGTGTTGTTGTGGTAGAGGAGGGCATTGTTCCCCGCGTCGCCACTGTAGTTCCCCAGGAAGAGGCGGTAGCTGTTCATTTCGTTGGCCACAGCAAAGTGGCTGTACTCGGCGTAGCGCACCTCACCCTCCCAGTCCTGGCAGAGAAACAGAGCCTGAGAGAAGCTGCAGTGCGCTTCATTTCACATGCCCTGTACCTCTCCTCTCCCCTCAGCCAAATATCTGTTTATAGGCGGGAAACAGTAGGGTGTTACTTCTTGTTGCCTGTAGTTTACCACATTAGCTGGGAATCAGCACCCAAGGGTCCTCAGTTAGACTTTTCGCTATATTAGCCATGTATCCTTGGTTCATCTTTCTGTGTTACTCTCTTCCCTGTCTGAAGGCACAGGTATGTGTTTTTGCTGAATCCCCCTCAGAAATGTCATGAGAGCAACATGAGGATGTTGACGCCTGCTGGAGGTCACCAACAAGTATCTCTAAGATTTACATAAAAGTCCTCATGCCCCAGGCCTGAGCAGAGTCAATGGTGTTTGGTCCAGCTGACTGTTGGGTTTGCTCTGGCCCGGCCTGGGTCTGCCTTGTCCTGTGCCTCCCCCCTGCAGAACTACTTTGCTAAGACATAGGAAAAAAACCCCAAAACCTTCTTCGTCATCTGTGCTGCAACCTACAAGAGCCCCACAATGACTGTACAGGCAGGTGTCCAGTGTATAGACTCAGGATGGCATCCACAGAGTCCTTCGCTGTCACATGCCGCAGACCTGAACCAGTTCCAGGGCCCCAGGCCTCAAGCTCACCTCGAGTTCCACACGGAGCCGGGTTGGCTGTCTGGTGAGCCGGTGGATGTGTTCGTTACCCAGCCAGAAGTCCCCTCGGATGCTGCCAAAGCCCTGCTTGTACTGCTTCCAGTCCTGGTAGAAGGAGACAAGGCCACTCCTCCGTCTCTGGATGATGGTCCAGCCTCCACCCGAAGTCTCCATGTCGCAGAACACCTGGAGCAGAAAGGGTGTTCTGGTCAGGACTTGCAGAGCAGGTGGCAAGAGCTTGAGGACAGGCTCCTCCTGTCCCCACAGGGCAGCAGTGTGTGTACTCCTGTAGTCACCCTGGGTCACTGTAGCAGCAGTGCTGCTGCCAGTGTTGGAGAGCTGGGACCCATTGGTTTGCTCAGGAAGAACTGACCAAACTGGAGATGGGGGAAATACGTGTCATATAGCTTGAAGGGGCAATGCAGATATTTCCAGTATGTCCCCCTCACATTCTCTCTGCACCTTCCCCAGGACATTGCCAAAGATTTAAATTAGTGATGTGGTGGTTATAAGAATTATCTAATCCATCACTTCTTGGCCTTTTGGCTAAGATCAAGTGAAGAATTATCTAATCCATGTTAGAAGCTTTAGTGTTTGGTTGACAATGATTTGAAGGGACCAGATACCCAGCTTTGGGGTGTAGGGACCCATAAATGGAGTGTTTGCACAGCTCCTCTGAGTTTCCCTTTCTGTAGACCATGACTAGCCCTGGGGTCCTCATGCTTGAGGGGTGGAGCACGGGCAGCAGATTACAGGCAGTGGGCTGCAGTGAGCTCACCTCCAACTCAGGGCTGCCCAGGAATTCATCCGGAGGAAGCTTGTACACCCCAGAGATGTGGTAGTTCTTCTGGTAGAGGGAAGAGCAGTCATAGATGGCATCTGCAAACAGACCATGCACAGGGTGGGCAGAGACTCCACATCCGAACAGGATGGCTAAAGCCGGAGACCTCCTCTCCGCCCGGGGACAGCCATGGGTGTTCATCCCCAGGCAGTCTCTGGATTTGGAGAAATGGGCACAGGGAGATCAAATGGGGGCATGTTTGGGCTTCTCCAGTGGTGGGGCAGAGGGTAGTGAAGCCCTTCCCCTGGACAGTGTCTGTGGGACAAACAGGTGGTTTCAGATTGAATTAAAATAAATTAGCCTGCTGTAGTTCTGGGCTGTGAACTCTAGAAGTGGTCTGGTGTGTGAGGGCCACATTACAGATGCCCCTGTGAGTAGCTTCAGATTTCTTGGACAACTCTGAGCATCTCAGGGGCCTGCTTTGTTGTTTCTTGGTTTCTGTTGTCTCTCAGAAGTAATGGCTACTAACAACTGGAGCTCTAATTAAGGGAGATCTTAATTCAATCTTACCTTCCTCCTGCCCTAATGTAACAATTTTAAATCCTCAAACCAAAAATGGGAAGAACCTTTTGAAGTCTTCTCCTGGAAGTTTTGTTAAAGAAATGAGATTTTCTAGTTTTCCCTCTGGGCTTGATTTAAATACTTCCTTGGCTGCCCTTGGGGTTACTACTTTATCCTGGGTTCTCTTCCTGCACTAAATATCAAACAGGTTCTAAAATCCTTTTCCAGGGGGAGTCAGAAAATGAGCTCTTCCGGTCTGGAGATGCCTTCTGCCCTCTCTGCCTGATTTTTTTCCTTGGTGACCACTAGCCTGGGGTCTTAGAGAAGAACACAAGGATGGCAGGTGGTAACAGTGCCACCATGGAAGTCATCCAAAGTGGCTCAGTTCCCCCGCAGAGCAGGTTGGGAGAAGGGGAGTGGGGAACACTCGCCATCAGCCTCCAAGCTCTGCACGGCGTGCGTGGTGAAAGTCTCAACTCACTGTTCGCTCCAACAGGCTGCCTACTTAGAGAGTGTAGAGGTGACCGGCCCTGGGCACAGAGAGAAAAACAAGGACCAGTGCCTGGGCAAGAAGGGTGAGAGGGTGGGCAGGAGGCCTGTGTCCCACCCCAGGAGACTGCCTGGGCCGCGAGAACGTGCCCTGGTAGGAGGAGCTAGAAGTGGCATGGTCGGATTTCTCCGTCTGGCCCGGCCTTCCACACGTCTGGTTTCATCTCGCAGGCCAGATCAGGACTCATTTGCCTGGGAGGTGGCCCGAGGATACCTTTCTATTTCACTTGAACTGAAGTAGCCAAGACTTACTCATTAGAAGCCAGTCACATCTTTGGTCTTCATTTGGTTTATAACACAGTCCACAGTTTGTAATGTTAGCAAAAAATGACGTATCTATAGGATATGCTTTCAGCTAATTTCTTGATAATTTCAGAAAACCAAATTTATCTCTAAACCAAATGCATGTCGGCCCATCTGTGCCGAGCTAACCAACTAAAAGTTATTCTGCAAAAGAAAATATTAAATGTGCCTTATTATTGGCCATTAACATTCATATTTTAGTACTGCACTTGCTTATTTCTTATATTTCTTGGGAGAATTTTATTTGAGACCATGGGGAAACTGGAGATATCGGAATTGAGGAGCTGGGAGGAGCCTGTCCTTCCCTGAGGACAAAGGGCTTCTTCCAACAGCCACAGGCAGTAGTGTCTCTACACTTGGTTCTCTCACTAAGAAGAATTTGTCTTTCAGAGACAGGACACAGAATTCCTTAATGCCCATTCCTGACACCTCTTAGGGTCACCAGAGAACTGTTTTTTGGCAAAACTTTGCAAGCAGAGCAACAGATGTCACGGTTTGGTGTCCATCCCTGCTTGCAATTAGGGGTTCAGTCCATCAGCTCTTGGTATGGAATTGGCACAGCTACACCAGCCAGGAAGATGTGAAACCCGCCTCCGCGACTTGGCTGTGACTCTGGGCAAACCCAGAACTGTTAGAGCCCCGCAACGAGAATTCCTGCCTTCCTAAGTGCAGAAAGTGTGTGAATAAGAGACAGTGTAGGTACTGGGCACATTTACCAGACGTTAGGAAGCAGAGCCTTCGGTAAAAGGAATGGACCCCTGCATGAGCCCCCATAACTATTCTGGGGAGCGGGTAATCTGAAGCAGCCGTGGACAGGGAGCAGAGCGATGTGCAGACATGCGTGCCTTACCTACCGAGGTCTGCGTGACAGTCTGCGCCGCCTGCAGCTGCATGATGTCCAGCTGATTGTTCATCTCCGAGTACTTGGTCTCAGCGTCCATGAGCCGTGACTCCAGGCGCTTGCTGGTGCTCTCCAGCTCCATCACCTGCATGACCACGCTGACCCAGTCCCTCTCCTGCTTCTGGCTCAGTTCGCTCAGCAGACCACTCAGGTTGGCCACTTGCGCCTTGAGCTCCTTCACCTCCTCGCAGCAGGCGGCCACTTTGACCTGTGCAGGTGTCTTACGCTTCGGGGGCTTTTGCAGCCACACCGGGTGGCTGACAAAGGCCACGATGAAAATGCCGAGCCAGGTCACAGTCAGCAGAGTCTTTGTCAGCATCTTCCGTGGGCCTGGGTGAAAAGGCTCTTCTTCAGCAAGCCTTCTGCTCTCGCTCTGGATGGCCTCACTATGCTGCTCTCTCTTTCCTCACTCTTCCTTAGCCTTCCTCAAAGCTTGAGTTTCTGAAAGTGGAGCCTAATGGATGCCCTGTTGCTTTCCTTCTCAAGCCTGACTGCTCTACCAAGACAGCATCTTAAATATTGCCTGTGTTTGCACCTCCACCCCTGCCATGGCCCTGTGCATGGGTTTAGCCCCTCCCACCCCATCGGGAGGGTCAGGTGCCTGTTGGGTGAAGTCAGCGTAAATTTTGGCCAGCGGAGGGGAGGAGGGAGACAGGGCAGCTTTCTTTCCTTGCCTGCTCAGTTTCTGGGCTGAGACAGGAGGACTGAATTTGTGTTTCCAGTTTCGCCTATTGGATTATGCCCCTGCCAGCCACTGGCTCAGCTCTATCAGCAGGCAGGCGGGGTCACAGGCATTTCCAGATTCCATCCTAAAGGTTACATAACCATGGGGTGAGGGCGAGGTGGGGGAGAGGGGAAAGCAAACTGGGAATAAGGAGACTCACGGGGGAGGCCTGTTAATGTAGTCCATGCTGTTTACACAAGTCTCTGATATATTTTGGCATCCTGCTGAATGTGCTTTTAACCAGGCTGGATAGTCCTTTCTCTGCTCATCATTCAATGTGTTACAAAATCCTTACTCAACTTGGCTCTAACATGATCTCATATTTGAAATTTTCCAACCTAAAAAAGTTCTAGAAATAGGAAGGTAGAGTAAGTCTCTTAGGAAGCAAAAACTGACTTCGTGGGGTTTACATAGTCATCTTCCTTTTTACATACTTTCTCCTTCCACTAAGAGCAGGCCAGCATCAGCTTTGCACACTTGATATTTTGTCAGAAGATTACAGGAAAAAAAAAAAGATTACCACAGGGATGGAAACAGTTGTGGCAGCATGGGTCTAAGAGTGGTCACCCGCATTCTGTCAGTTTCTGCACAACAGAGAGCAGGCCCAGAATTTGAAATGCATACATTTTAAAGGATAGAGAAAAGACTCCCTGTCACCTAACAAATCCATATCTAGAGTCACATTGCCTCTTTCTGTGCAATTTGAAATTAGTCTCCCTCTACCCACTATAACTTTGTATCTAAAAAACGGGGACGTTGCAATTTGTCATGTACTCTGTTTGAAGGACTCTGTTTTTTGTTTTGTTTTGTTTTGTTTTGTTTTTTGGTACTGGGGATCAAACTCGGGACCTTGCGGTTGCCGGGCAGGCAGTGGAACCACTGAGCTAAATCCCCAGCCCAGGACATTACTGTTTTGAAAACAAATGTAAAAACATGGAATTCAGCAAACATCCTGAAAATAAGCTCACTGAGAGTGTACAAAAGGTCTCTGAGTCCTTAGAACAGAAGCTGTGTCTTGGAAATGCATGGTTGCTGTTTCCCAGCTGGGAGCCACTGAGCCAGGTGCTTGTCTTGCTATCCGGTATTGTCCAGCAGCTATTCCCAGCCCTAATCGCCCAGAGCCCTTTTCCAGTCAGGGCCTCTGGCTCTTTGAAAAGTGACTGCAATGCAGACATCTGGAATTGCCAAACAGTTTGTTTTTTTTTTGTATTAAATTCTTTTATTGGTACATTGTAGGTATACAACACAATTACATTTCTCATTGGGAATTGTACGTTTACATAATGCATCTTGGTTCTTATTTTTTCCCCATTCCTAGCCCTCCCTTCACGCCCTCCACCCTTCCCTT